GGGTTTGGCTCCCAGCCCCGGCTCCTGACTCCAGCTTCCTGTCGATGCAGACCCTGGGAAGGAGCAGTGAATGGCTCAGGTGACCTGGGCTCCTGCCTCCCTTGGGGGAGAGACACCTGGCTCGAGGTCCTGACTCTTGGCTTTGGCTGTGGCTGGGAGTTGCTGTGGACATTTAGGAAGTAAACCAGAAGATGGGTGTTCTTCATCTCTTAAATAAAAATAAAACATTTAGTGGCTCAATTGGCTAATCCTCCACCTTCAAGTGCTGGCACTCTAAATAGGCACCAATTCTTATCCTGGATGCTTCACTTCCCATCCAACTCCCTGCTTGTGGCCTGAGAAAGCATCCAAGGACGGCCCAAAACCTTGGGACCCTGCACCTGCATGGGAGACCCAGAAGAAGTGCCTGGCTCCTGGCTTCAGATCAGCTCAGCTCCAGCCATTGTGACTGTTTGGGGAGTGAACCAGCAGGTGATAGTTCTTTCTCTCTGTCTTTCCTCCTCTTTGTAAATCTGCTTTTCCAATCAAAATAAATAAATCTTAAAACAAAATGTTTAGTATCTTAAAAAAGTAAGCACATGGGGCATAGAAAAAACCAAGTCGGGAAAAGAGGGAGCGAGCATTGTCGCAATGCTAACATCTCACACTGCAGAACCAGTGTTGGATGTTGGGCTTCCCGTCTGGTTCCTGTTTATTCACCTGGGAAGGTAGTGAAGTGCAGTCCAAGTGCTTGAGCCCTTGTCACCCGTGTGGAGGGCACAGAAGGAGCTCCTGACGCCAGGCTTCGGCCTGGCTCAGCTCTGGCTGGTGCCGCTATTTGGAGTGTGAATCAGCATGGAAGATCTCCCTTCTTTCTCATCCTATCCTTCAAATAAATACATTTTGAAAAAAAAAATTAGATATGGGGAGTGTCAGAGGAGAGGCTGGGTTTCATGAGTCTTTCATGTACTTTAGAGCGCTTGATGTTTTTGTCAATAAACGGACAAAATGAGTGACCAAGCTGGAAGGGAAAGAGAAGCACTGGCACATGGGCTGAGAGTTCCGGGTGCACTCACTGCACCCACCGTGGTGTCACAGCCTGACGGTCAGTTCTAACACCTGCTCACCCTGCTGGCCCTCACTGTTGGAGGACCCTGGCCAAGTGACTTCACCTCTCTGAGATGCTGTGGCTCAGCTGAAAACGGGAAATCCCGCGGCCTGCCTCACCTGGAGGATGGAAGGTCGGACAATGACCAGCATGTAAGAAGCCCTCAGTGATGGCTCCTGTGAGCAGAGCACAGGCTCTGTGGACATGGACATCAGCTCTGCCATTTACAGCTGTGTGACTTCGCCCAGGCCCCGGAGCTCTCTGGGCCTCGTTTCCTCCCGGGTAACAGCATAGATTACACTGCCTCCCGGCAGGGCTGCTGTGGGGGTCAGATGACAAACCGAGTGTTGATGTCCGGCACGGCCCATGTGGGAACTTCCCTTCCTCGGCCCTCGCCTTTCAGCAGGACTGGCCTTGCCAATCCCAGGGGTTGGACTCCAGCCCACTGTCCATTTGCTTAGCTTCTGTACCTGTACTGCCAAGTGTTGGCCAAGCGTTGTGACTGGGGACAGTCAACAGGCCCACGTGGATGGCCCCTTGCAAGTGACACATTGGTGTTGGGTCACATTGGCCAGTACTTCTGTGTCCAGACAGTCTTGCGTCTCCCTCTAGGGCACGCCCTGCTGTGTCGCACACTGACTGGCGGGGCCGTGTCTCCACCCACACCCTCCCAGCTGCGTAAGCCTTGGAAGTTGATGTGGACTATGGATTGCACACCTTTCTCTCCGCCTCCCAGCACTTCTTGGCCCTCCCCTCTAGTACATCCCATTCTCTTGTGCTTCCAACTCCTTCCCAAGGCTGTAGATGTAACCACGGCCCAATCCCCATCTTCTAGTACTTTCTACCAGCTACACCATCTTTACCAAAAGCTTTTGCCCAAGTACTTAAATCTTCCCTGAGTCAACCAGCAGCCTGACTGCTTCTTCATCTGTCACACCCTGGCACTCATCCTCTTAACCCAGCCATATTTACCGAGGACGTGGGTGCCAGCTGCCAGGGGCGCACACATGGACAGATACATTCTAGGCCCTTAGAGTCTTCAAAGTCCATGGGGAGACAGACCACAATCGGGTGATGGTGTGTTATGATTAGTGGGGCGGCAGAGATGGAGGACCCATGGGGGGATGCCTGGCCTCTCTTGACATAGGCTTCTGAGTGGAGTGACTGTGATGATGTGCCCAGAGACATACACTGGACTGGGAAAATGGAATGGGGAGCTAGCTGAGTGTGTTCTGGGCGGGATGTGGTGAGTTTAGGGATGCCATGGAGGGTCTCAAGAGAAATCCCCAATGACCCTTCAACTCAAAGGCGAGAGAAGCTGGGAGTGGAACCAGAGACTTGAGAATCCTGGCGTCACAGATGTTTCCAGAATGTTCCCTGCTGCAAGGACCTGGTAGTGACAAAGCGAAGGCATCTGTTGTCCCATGCCTCTGTCAGTCGGGGGTTGGATTCACCAGAGGCACAGAGATGATACGGAGGGTGCAGGTGCTGAGGTCTCCCACTGCCTTCCGCGGAGGGACCAAAGCTGTCTCCTCGTGCATCAACTTTAATCCCAGAGATCACACTTGCCCTTGGACCTTATGGGCCACGACTGTATATTCAGCCAAAAGACATTGGATCGGTAAGAAAGACCTCCCCTTCCCCACCACTTGCTGTTTCTCTCCTGTGACAGCGGAGGGAGCACCCAGATCATGAGCCTACCTGATGCACAAATGAAGTGGCAAGGAAGGGGTGAGGACTTCTCTTCGATTTCTCTCTTCCGGGGGCTCCTGCCTCTCTAGGCAATGTCAGAGTGACACATGGGGACTTCCGAGTCAAGCAGATGCAGGTTCATGCTCTGGAGTCACGTCTTGCTTGCTGTGTGACCTGCACTGGGTTTTGCTGCCTCTCTGTTCCCAAGCATGCTTGCCTGGGGCATGAGGGTATCATGGCTCATACCGGCTGCTGCTAAGATGATGAAACGACTCCTGCCAAGTGCTGAACACAGTGTCCGCACATAGCCACTGTTCAGCACGTGAGTGGAGGAGGGCATTGGGACCGGGAGACCTCCTTCTCCATGTTGCCCACCCTTGTTTCCAAGGCTGCCTCCTCTTTCTGCCAGTGTCCCCCTTCTTTTTCTCCAGTTTCCACCTGTCCTCAAGTTGACCTTCTTATTCCAGTTATTCATGGAGCCTCAAAACCGCAGTCAACCCTCCTCTATAGCTTAACCAAGGCCCCAAGACCAGCCTTCTGCGCCAGAGCCTTGGGCCAGGTGACCTTAAGCTCTTTGTGTATGATTTTGCTTTAAAGACATCTGTTGGGCCTTCTCAGAGGACTTCTATCTGCCAACTGGAAACACGTTTTTAAAAAGGTGGAAGAAGCAGCTAGTGCTTGGCACAGCAGGTTAAGAACCCTCCTACAATACTGGAGTCCCATATAGGTGCCAGTTCGAGTCCTGGCTTCTCCACTTCTGATCCAGCTCCCTGTTAAAGCACCTGGGAAGGCAGTGGGAAATGACCCAAGTGCTTGGGTCCCTCTACCCACCAGGGAGACTGATGAAACTCCTGGTTCTTGGCTTTGGCCTGACCCAGTCCTGGCCATTGCATCACTCCATGAATGGAAGATCTCTTTCTCTCTCTTACTCTGCCTTTCAGATAAATCAATACATCTTTAAAAGGAAAACAAGTGGAGGAAAATTAAAAATGTATGTCCTACAGATTCTGGCTGGCGCTGCATCCAGGCTGGGCTTATGCAAGAGTTATTTCCGGGCCTGGGGTGATAGCGTAAGGTTAAGATCCCTGCCTTGAACACACCTGGATCCCATATGGGCACTGGTTCTAATCCTGGCAGCTCCACTTCCCATCCAGCTCTCTGCTTGTGGCCTGGGAAAGCAGTCGAGGACGGCCCAGAGACTTGGGACCCTGCACCCATGTGGGAAACCCAGAAAAAAGTTCCTGGCTCCTGGCTTCGGATTGGCGCAGCACCTGCCATTGCAGCCACTTGGGGAGTGAATCATTGGACGGAAGATCTTCCTCTCTGTCTCTCCTCCTCTCTGTATATCTGCCTTTCCAATAAAATAAATACATCTTTTTTTTTTTTTTAAAAAAAGAGCTACTTCTGTTTGCCTCGCTTCCTGGGCTGGGCACTTCTTGGGGCAGGGACACGGAGTACTCCTCTTTCTGTCCGCTGGCCCTGACGTGTGGAAGGAAGCCTGCTGAGTGGACAAGGCTCCTGACAAGAACCAATTCTTCCCCTTGCCTAGGCCCAGTTCAAAATCTACAAAATGAGGGGCCTAACCTCCAGAGAGCCCTTTTCAACTGAAAGGGGAGAAGTGGACAGGGGTGGGACTGGGTGCTCCAGAGTGGGTCCTTCCACTGCCTTTGTAAGGGGCTGAGCTCAAGGGTGACACAGAGGGTGGGGCAAAGAAAGGGGTAGCCCTGACCCTGTCGTGGGAGCTGCCCAGGAGCCCAAAGGAGTGTCAGGTCAGTGAGAGGACAACAGCTATGGACCCCTGAACCTCGCAAGGTCCTGGTCCCTACCCCTGGCCCACTGACCTGACCAGGATGAGGGCCTGACTTCCAGAGGGAACTGCAGGTACCCAAGTGGCCCCGCCAGGCTGCCTCTGAACAGGCTGTTCTTGTTTTCGCTCCCCCATGCCCTCATGCCTGTGGAACAGCGCTTGCTCACCCTTGCATGTGATCTGAGAGGCTCGGGCTCCCGGGCCTGGAGGAAACTCAAGCCCCACCAGGCGCTTGGCATCGGAATGCCGAGTTGGGCCCCTCCCTGGGCTCATGTGACAGAGCCCAGCTATAAATATCAAAGGGGTCCCAGACCCAGCCAGAGTTCGAGCGCCAGGAGAAGGAGACAGAGGTTCGGAGCTGGTGTTTGTGACAAGGGCAGAGCCCCGATCTTTAGAGCCAGACTCTCCCCCACAAAAGATATGGATTACAAGTCGAGCCTGATCCCAGACGGGAACCCCATGGAGAACCTGGAGAAGCAGCTCATCTGCCCCATCTGCCTGGAGGTGTTCACCAAGCCAGTGGTCATCCTGCCGTGCCAGCATAACCTCTGCCGCAAGTGTGCCAATGACATCTTCCAGGTGGGTGCTGGAACGGTCTGCTCCTAGGACCTCCCACATCTTGGACTGGCTCTTTCTGCTCCCTGGAGCTCCCCTGCAGAGAGGCCTCTGATCTGCCTGAGGGCTGGGGAGGAGGCTCTGGGCTCCTCCTGCCTCGGGCCCCTCCATGACGCATGTGTCGCTCCCACCCTGCCCCCAGCTCAGCTCCCCACCTGCCCCGAGCTCTCGGCGGGTGGAAGAGTCAAGTGCCTCAGTGATAAGGGAGAATCGGGTGCAGAGGGAACAGAAACCAGACCCCTAGAAGCCTGCCAGCGCCACAGTGGCATAGGACCCAGAGCTTCAGATTCAGGGGGAAGTAGACAGGCACACCAGGCATAGGCCCCCAAAGCCCCTACCCTGAGCCTTCAAGATGAGAACCAGAAGGCAGACCAGGGACGGGATTTGGCACTCAGCTGTCCTCCGGGGCTACCTTCCCAAATGTCCTTCCACTATTTCCTCTTCTAAGTAGCCCCTGAGGAGCTTGCCCAGGTTGCAACACCCATTTCATGAGTGGGCAAACTGAGGCTTGGAGAAAGAAGGTTGCTACCCAGAGATGGAAGCCAGGCCTGCTGATGGTGCAGCTGCTTGTCTGGGGGCCCCATAGCTAGGGGTCTCTGCTCTCACCCTCAATAACAGGAGGCTGGCAAGGGAAAGGGCTGGGGGTGGGCAGTGCAGGCCTCACCTCTATGTTTGGCCCCTACAGGCCGCAAATCCCTACTGGACCAACCGGGGCGGCTCGGTGTCCATGTCCGGAGGCCGTTTCCGCTGCCCCTCCTGTCGCCACGAGGTGATCATGGACCGCCACGGCGTGTACGGGCTGCAGCGGAACCTGCTGGTGGAGAACATCATTGACATCTACAAGCAGGAGTGCTCCAGGTCAGCTGGCCCACCCCTCCCGCTTCCCTTGCCCCCTGCTCAGGGCCAGCTCTCCCTCCCACCCCCTGCAAGCCAGTGCAGAACCCCTTCCTCCCCCAGGCTGGCCTCTGGGATTGCCCTGTTGGGAGATCTTGACACAGATCAGGGCAATGAGATGAGAGAGCAAGAGACAGGACTGGGAGCCATGAGAATACAGCCACACTCCTTTCCCACGCCTGGGGCGGTCAGGAGCCCACGCTGGGAATGCTCCACGGTGCCCACATCTCACAGATGAGAAAATACAGGCTCCCTAAGAAGCGGGAGATGAGCTCGGCTGTATTCTCCAATAGGAGAGGCAGAATCTGTGAGCCTTGGGGACATCCACGCTGAGCCTCAGGCTGGGGCCAGACCCAGCTGGGGGAGGGGCGGTACATATGAGGACACCCTGACACCACTCCCAGCTGTTGACCTCACGGCCTTGTTGGTTTCAAACCTTCCCCAAGCATGTGGCAGTGGGCAGCGTCTTGCCCAGTGGCACTGCCAACCCAGGCCTGCGGAGGAAAAACCCTGGCTGGGGGCCTGCCAGTGCTGCCCTGCCCCAGCTCTGCCGAGGTCTCAGGTCTGCTGGCCACAAAGGGGATGGATGGTAAGATGTGTCACTGTGACTGGGGATAGGGTAGTGACAGGAAATGTCACAGAAGCACCTGCCATGTGCTAGCTGCCTCCCATGCCCCTCCCTGGCTCAGCCTACTTGACTGTAAGGAAGTGGAGGCTCAGAGAGGGTGGGAGATTTTTCCAAGCCCACACAGCTAACAAGGGGGGAAGCTGAAAGAGAAGGTATGACTACCTGCATGGTGAATATTTTTTAAAAAATTTTTGAAGTGATATTTCTTAGTTATTTGAGAGAGAGAGGGAGGGTGGAAGAATACATGGTCCTGTACGCTGGTTTTTTTTTCTCTAAAAGTCTGCAACCGCTGGACCAGGGTGGGCACTGAAGGTAGGAACATGGAATTTAATCCAGGTCTTCGGGGATGACAGGAGCCCTGTTCTTTGAGCCGTCACTGCTGCCTCCCAGTGTCTGCATCCATAGGAAGCCCAAATCAAGCTGGAGCTGAAAAGCTGAGCACTTGGATTTTGGGGTACATGTGTCTTGGCTGAGAGGTCCCCTGGTGACTGTTCTGGGCTGCCAGTCTAGAGGGCTCATGAACAGCACACACAGAAATGTTAACAGGCTGTGGAATGTTCTTGATGTAGCAGAATCTGTACCTGAGCTGAAATAATAGTCCCCTCTGCAGAGTAGGTTGTGTTTGAACCTGCGGGGGTTCTGCATATCAGGGACTCAGCCCAGGAGCTGCGCTTGGCTGGGCCCCTGCTCAGTACTGGGCACCTGACGCCACAGCTGAGAACAAAGCTGCAATAAACAAAAGAACTCATTCTAGTGGTCTGGACTCAAAGCCAGAGGGAAGCCTGGGCAGGGCAGTGGGCACAGGCACCAGACCTTGAGAGCTTGTCTCTCTGCACCACTGCCTGGCCAGGGACTCCCTTCCTTGGGGGAGGAGACAGGTGGCATATGGAGGCCTTTGTCTGTAGGCAGTCCCTGGACTCAAGGACAAGTGTGGCCAGGGGCTGGTTGAATAATGGCAGGGGTCACAAAATCTGGGGGGTAAGCGATCACTCAGGGTAGTCAGAGGTCGCCCCTGACACTTGCTGGGTACCAGTCATCGCCAACATTGTATGATGTCAGGGGTTGGAGTCAGTGGTGCTGTGGACTCACTGCTGGCTCTACATGAGTGGGTGGTCCAGCTGGCATGGAAAGACTTAGTTTAAAAAAAAATCACATCTTTGTGCCATCATTGTAGTGCAGCAAGTTAAGCCACCACTTGCAACGCCAGCATGCATCATATCTCTATTTGAGTCCTGGCTGCTGCACTTCCACTCCAGCTCCTTGCTCATGTGCCTGGGAAGACAGAAGAAGACGGCCCAATATTTGGGCCCCTGTCACCCATGTGGGAGGCTTGGATGGAATTCCAGGCTTTTGACTTTGGATTGGTCCAGACTTGGTTGTTGTGGGACATGAGAGGGAGTGAACCAGTAATGGAATCTCTGTTGCTCTAAGCCGTCAAATAAATAAAAGGACAAATCTTAAAGAACATTGAACCCAGGCTAGGAAAGGGCCAAAACTCTAAGCCCGGCATACTTGACACGCCAGAGGCCGTCAGTAGAGAAACCAGAAAGGGGAAAAGACACCTTAAGAACAGGTGTTAGGAGCAGCAAGGGTGCAGCGGACCTGGAAGAGAATCTGCAGGTGAGGTGCCAAGGCCTGGGCTGGGCTTCCCACCTTCTGAAGCCTGGCTGGGGCCATCCTCATGGTGTGTTTACTGGCCAAGTCCTTCTTATATTCTGTTACCACCTCCTGTGGCACCAGGCACCATCAATGCAGCAAGGAAGACAGTGGGCAAATTTCCTTATGCTTACGGAGGTTATGGCCTGCTGGGTTCAGTGCAGAATTGAGCGACACTATCCGTGTAAACAACCCAGCTCCAGGGAGCAGGAGCCACCAGGAGCCAGGGGGACTATAATTAGAGCAACCAACTCCTAGTTCCCCTGGCCTGACCTGCAGGATGACCTTGATTGAATCAATTCAGTTTCCCGGGTTGGGAGGGGTGGGGGTCCCAGCTTCTTCTCACTTAAAACTTCTGCATGCCTACTCTCAGACCTGTGGCTCCCTCCCTACACTCTCAGACCTGGCAGAGCCCACTAGCATATGGGTCCCAGGATGAGGGGACAATTGCAATGTCACTAGCTCCTCTGGGCTAGAATTCCTAGAGAACTGAGGAAAAAAAAAAAAAAAAGGTTTGGGGCTGCCCTTCTGCTACAACTGCCTGTGAAGCCAGGAAGCCCATAATGAAGTGCCAGTTCGAGTCCTGGCTGTTCCACTTCCGATCCAGCTCCCTGCTAATGTACTGGGGAAGGCAGCAGAAGACGGTCCAAGTGCTGTGGGAGACCCAGATGGAGCACCTGCTCCTGGTTTTGGCTTGAGTCAGCCCCAGTTAGCCATTGTGGTCATTTGGGGAGTAAACCAGAAAATAGGTCTCATTCTTTGTCTCTTTTTTTCTATCACTCTGCTTTTCAAACCTTGGGGGAAAAATTTGTGGGGCAGCTCACTATCGAGAGCTCAGGGTATAAAATGGGGGTCACTGGAGCCAGGGACCCTGTGACCTGTGACCCTTCTCTTTCCAGCCGGCCCCTGCAGAAGGACAGCCATCCCATGTGCAAGGAGCATGAAGATGAGAAAATCAACATCTACTGCCTCACGTGTGAGACGCCCACGTGCTCCATGTGCAAAGTGTTTGGGGCCCACCAGGCCTGTGAGGTGGCCCCACTGCAGAGCGTCTTCCAGGGCCAGAAGGTATGGGTTCCAGTTGTGTCGGCCCCCCAGCCCGGGGCCTGCTGAGCCACACCTGATGATTCAGGAGATGGATCTGCTGAGCCGGCCTTTCAGGAATAACCCCTGGGGAAGAGATTGCCTGGGTAGCAGGCTGAGCTCATGGTTATACTTAGAAGCACCTGGGTGTGGCCACAGGCTCGAGGTCAGACCCCAGGGCCAGGGCACACTTTGGCCTCCAGCATGCACTGGGCCACAGTTTTCACACTGGCCTGCAGCAGGAGGCAGCTGGGAGTTCTGTTCCTGGGCCTCAGGCTGTGGCAGATACCCCACCATCCTGTCCAGGCCATCAGCTGCTGCTCTGCCTGTTCGTTCTTCTCCCACTCTGCAAATGTACTTCTTGTCTTGGCTCCATCTTAGAACAAACCCCTCCTTGGCTGGTACCTTGCTGTGTGTCTTGGGCAGCTCATCCCCTCCCCCGTTCTCTGGGCCTTGTCTTGTAACATGAGAGGGGCCTGTGAAATAGACAACAGCAGTTCGTTGACACTCTCTGCTCTGGATGAGAGTTGCACCCCAGAAAGAGGGGCCACACTCCTCGGGGTGGGGGTGAGGTGAGTAGTACCCTGAGTCTGTTTCTCTCCCTTGCTGTGTAGACAGAGCTGAGTAACTGCATCTCCATGCTGGTGGCAGGGAATGACCGCATGCAGACCATCATCACGCAGCTGGAGGACTCCTGTCGAGTAACCAAGGTGAGAGGACAGAATGGCCTCACCTTGGGGTTGAGGCCTCCTACTGCAGCCTGGTCTATGGGACACACACACTCACAGATTGGGACTGAAGGCTGGGGCCTGGAGCCCAGGGTGGATGAGCAAGGATGGCAATGAGGGAGTCACAGGTGGTCCATTCGTGCACAACTGGGTGTCAGGCCCTGGCCCAGGCTCTGGGGATGGGAAGTGATCCAGACGGACTCGGTCTCTGGGGACCATCTGACTGGCTGTTTCCAGTGTGCACACAGCGCTAACGGCCCACAGAGCTCTGCTCCCCAGGGTGATGTGGACCCTTCTTTAGGGCATATAAAACAGCCGCAGGCTCAAGCTGTGCACTCCACATGAGCTCCCAGGGCTTGCCCAGCTGTGGGGTCCAGGAAGGGGACTTTTCCAGCTCCAGAGACTGCCTCTGTCATGTAGAAGAGGGATGTAAAGGAAGAGGATGTGCAGGTGCACTGGGGGGAGGCAGTAGGGCCCCGGATGGAGATCTGCTAGGGTTGTGTCCATTTCACAGAAAAGAAAAACCAAACAGAACATTTGTGCTGCATGAAAGATGCCTGCCCACCTCCCCGCGGGCCCCGCAGTGCATAGCTCCCTGCACCTAGGCTTGTTCCTAGAATGGGGACAAATGTGATGTGGGGCTCATGGCAGTCAGGGTACAGCATCTGGGTGCATGTGTGTCGTGGTGAGCAGCTGGGACGCCTCTGCCGTTGCTGTCTTGGGAAGCCTGCATCTCCAGTTCTATAAGACGAGGCTCCTAGGGTTTTCTCCTGGGCACACCTGTCAGAGCAGGCAGGGGATAGGCCTGCAGGATGTAACAGCAACATCCGTGCCCACAGGAGAACAGCCACCAGGTGAAGGAGGAGCTGAGCCGCAAGTTCGATGAGCTCTACACCATCCTGGATGAGAAGAAGAGCGAGCTGCTGCAGCGCATCACGCAGGAGCAGGAGGGCAAACTCAGCTTCCTCGAGGCCCTCATCCAGCAATACCGGGAGCAGCTTGACAAATCCACTAAGCTGGTGGAGACGGCCATCCAGTCCCTGGATGAGCCTGGTGGCGCCACCTTCCTCCTGGTGAGTCACACCAGCAGAATTCAGCTTGTGTTCCTCCACAGGCTGCTCACACCTCCTGGGACATGTACCTGCCTCAGTGTCCCCATCTGTAGAATGGCATGCAGTAATCGCTACCTTTCTCTTACTGAGCCTATGAAGATGAAATAGATGCTAATGTTATGCCCTTTTCAGCCACCAAATGCCCCTCCTGGAGACTCTTAACTGGGTTCCTTCTGTAAGTGAGGGGGTGAGGATCCCTCCTGTAGGCCAACTGTTCTCCATAAGGGCTTACTGGGAAGAACAGAGAGGGCCTGGTTGTGAGAGACTGAGTTCAGCTCAGTTAAAGCGCCTATGAGCCACACCTTATCCCAGACAGTGGGTACACTGGGTATCTGGGGTACATGATTCTCAGCTTGGCTGTTCCAGGGTTTGGCTGTAGTTTTAACTGAGGTCCTTAGAAGTCAAGCTCCTACCCAGAAAATGTGCCAGGGAGGATTCCAGGGTGATAACCAGGACCTGTTCAGGTTGCAGACAGATGGGAAAGATCCAATGTGTGCCAGCCTGGAGGTGAGAGGATGAGGGCACAAGCGGGTAGGGAATGGTACCATGTATCCAGCTGCCATACCCAGCCACTGTGGCGGCATTCCTGCCAGTATGTCTTCTGCAGTCCTAACCCTTTGCTCTCTCCCCTCCCACAGAGTGCCAAGCAGCTCATCAAAAGGTCAGTATGTCCCCCAGGGCTGTGGCCCAAGCCCCTGGCTCCTGGCAGGGCCTCTGCCCAATGCCCTGCTCCCCGTCCTAGTGCACTCAGTCCTCAAGAAGGGTCTCACCCCAGCCTGCCTTTCCTGGCTGTGGCATCCCTATTTTCCTGGACCATCTCTTGCGCTTGAGCCTAGAGGGAACACTGCCTCACTGCCAGGGTTCTCTGGGTGGCAATGGGGTGCGGGCAAAGCACGTGCACTCATGGTATTAGAGTGAAGGCCCTTCTTCCCACCCTGAACCCCGAAACCTCATCCTGCTTTCTAACCCCGCTAACCTTCTCCCCACAGCATTGTGGAAGCTTCCAAGGGCTGCCAGCTGGGCAAGACAGAGCAGGGCTTTGAAAACATGGACTATTTCACATTGGACTTGGAGCACATAGCAGACACCCTGAGGGCCATCGACTTTGGCACAGGTAAAGTGGCAGAGCCATTCGCCTGGTTTTCTTGCTGGATGTCCCAGAGCCAGAATGAGCCTCCCTGTACTATTTGGATAGCTGGGGTTGCGCACACAGAGTCCTCCTGTCTCATTCTGGCTTCTCTTCCCTGGAGCGCCTGTGACAATGTAACCAGAACAGTAAGGAAGGAGGAGATTTAGGGAAACCCTCAAAGGAGCCCACATGTTATTTTGCTGAAGCACACAGGGCTTAATGACAGAGAGAGGGTGCGTGGGATTTGGCGGGGTGATGTATTGGTCGGAGAGGTGAGGTCCAGCTGCAGAAGGACGAGGGCCTTTGTTGAGGAGACACAAGCTGTGACTCTGGTGACCTCCTCCAGCCCTGGCCACAGGCCTAAGGAGGTGGCTGGGGAAGGGGGTTGGGGAAAGGCCATTGTCTCTGGCAGTAGAACTTGCAGGCCACTTCTCAGGACAGAAAACTGGGGGGACCCGTGTCCCTAGTCACTCCTCCCTGTTGCTCAGCTTCAGGGAGTAATGGAGAAGAGATGGCCCCAGCGTGCTCCCCACCCCAGGTGGGGAAGGAATGAGGAAGCTGGCGGGGCAGGGGTGCTGAGCAAGCAGCCTTCCAGAGCTGAACAAATTCCTCTGGGACAAAGACTTTGCCCCTGTCCTTGTGCAAGGTGATGCTTTGTCCCACTTTCCCCAGGGGCTGTTTGTTTACCTGGGAGATGCATGGAGCAGAGAAGGTGCTGCCTCTTAGTCCTCTTCACACATGGGGTAACAGGCAGGAGCTGCAGCTGCCAGAGCACAAACGAGCACAGCGTAGCGGCACCCTACAGTGGGGAGAAGCAGTGTGGCCCTAGCCAGACCACCACCCACGCACCATCACCTTAGTCCATCACCCACGCACCTGCGGGCTGCACTAGGAGAGCGGGTGCTGGGGCTGAGGAGCCAGCCCACCCTCACCTGCTTGTTCTTTGTCACAGATGATGATGATGAGGAGTTCCTGGAGGAAGAAGATGATCAGGAAGAGGAAGAGACTTCAACAGGGAAGGAAGAAGGTAGGGAATCCATTCGCCTTCAGTAGTTCATTCATTCATTCGTTTCTTCACTCTCCCCATAACGAGATGCCCACTGTGAGCGAGCTGCTGTGCGGCTCCCAGCACATCTCTCTCCCATCTATGCATACTAAAAGATCCCATTTCACAGCTAACTGAGCTTCCTAATGGAGAGTCACACAGAGGTCCGAGACAGTGGGTTAAGCCGCTGCCTGTAGCATCAGCATCCCCTGTGGGGGCCAGTTCTAATCCTCAGTACTCCACTTCTAACACAACTCCCTGTTAATGCGCCTGGGAAAGCAAAGGGAGATGGCCGAAGTCTTCAAGCTCCTGCACCCACGTGGGAGACCTGGCAGAGACTCCTGGCTTTGGCCTGCTCAGCCTTGGTCATTGCAGTCATCTGGGAAGTGAACCAGCAGACAGAAGATCTGTGTCTCTCCTCTCTGTAGATCAGTCTTTCCAATAAAAACAATAATAAATATCTTTTTAATACAAAAATATTTATTTATTTAAAAGCATTACAGAGAAAGTGGCAGAAAAAGAGAGACCTTCCATCTGCTGGTTTACTCCCCAAACAGTCACAACAGCCAGAGCTGGGTCTGGTGAAAGCAGAGTTAAGAGCTTCTTCCAGGTCTCTCACCTGGGTGCAGGGGCCCAGGGCCTTGCATCAGCCTCTGCTGCTTTCTCAGGTCTTTAGCTGAGAGCTGGATCTGAAGTTAAGCAGCTGGGACTCAAACGGGTGCCCGTGTGGGATATGGGCACCACATGTAGAGGATTAGCCTATTAAGGCACCACACTGGCCCTGTCAATTCCCTTTAAATGAAAACAACCCTTGCTACTGCATCCTGTCCTCCATGCCAAGGCCACTGGCTCCCCTTCCACCCCTTCCTGCACCCTGAGTTTGGCAGTTTGTTGAAAGTCAGATTCTGAATTGCATCTGTGCCCTGGACCAGCTATGTAATCTTGAGCTGTTTGTAACTCTGCTAAGGCTACGCTCCCAAGTGTGCATGGGGACCTAATGCCATTGGCCTCTCAGGGTTGTAGTGGGCAGCAACTAGGATATCAGTTGGCCCCATGTCTGGTGCATAGAAAGGATGTGTTAGCTGATGCCATTTTTGACTCCATAGTTGGCAAAACTAAATTCCAGACCTACTGAAATGCAGACAGCAGTGTTTTATACTTTGAGCCTGCCTGTCAAAAGGCCAGAGTATTTGAACAGCTGAACTCTGGTGATTTTAAGAGGAGGAGGTCAGGCAGAAACTGCCCCCGGGTGGGGGGGGGGTCCCCACGTCCCCACATCCCCTGCCTCACCATAGGCCTCCGTGTCTTTTTCTTTCTTGCAGGACATCAATAAGGAGCCGGAGGAGAAGGCCGACCCTCTAGATGCTGAGACTGGGGTGGGTGGGGCAGGGCCGGCTGCCTCCAAGACAGGACTAGGGGTGGAAGGGGCGACGAGCAGGTCTTCTCTCTGCTCGGAAAGCAGGGACTCGGTAGCATCCCGCCACTGTGTCCGGCAGCTGTTGAACCCCGACTGGAACCATGTTGACACCACCACACAGGCCACTTTTCTATGTCAGTGCAAAATGGAATATTTTGTACGTTTTTCAAATGTGACTTTTTTTTTGTATATACTTGTTTATGTATGCCAATTTGGTGCTTTTGTATGGAAACTTTTGTACAATAATGCCTGGTCATTGTGTGACTGGCCATGTCAGAGAGCGGGGAGGGAAGCCAGGTTGATAGAGCTGCCCACTTCCTCTCCCTGGTGGGAGGTCTGGGAAGCACCTGCAAGCCTAGATGGGAATGTGTACCCTAGGTCAGGGCCATCCCGAGGCCCGGGGAGGCCCCTGGCTCTGTGCTATCTGTTGTTTCAATAAATGCACGATGCTCTCTTCCTGTTACCACAGAAGAATTAATGGTGGCTTGTTCTACTTGTCTTCCTGGAGGAGAGAATCTTCCAGCGGTGCTTGAACAGAGGCCCGACAGGCAGGAGAAGGCTCAGGCGAGGTCCAGGGTTCCAGCCTAGCGGGGATGCCCTTTGCCGCAACATTTCCCCAGCGAGTGAGTTGTGCTCAGTGGTCACTGGGAGACAGAGCCTCAGGCCAAGTAGTGAGGCATTGGCTGCAGGTGCAGTCCTTGGGCAGGTAGAAGGAAGCAAGGAACTGGTGTGCAGCATTGCATAACTGAGCTGATAACCAGTGGTTCTCCGGAGAGGGTCCCAGCCAGTCATCAAATATACACATAGGGGTCCATGTTGGGGGACCTTGGGTTGAGTTGCCTACCTACAATGCTGGCAGCATTCCAGATGAGTCCTGGCAACTCTACTTTTGATCCAGCTCCCTGCTACAGCACATGGAAGAAGCAGAAGAGTACCCAAGGTCTTGGGTCCCTGCCACCCCATGGGAGACCCAGATGGAGTTCCAGGCTTGCTTGCTTGCTTTCTTCCTTCCTTCCTTCCTTTCTTCCTTCCTTTCTTATCTATCTTCCTTCCTTTTTTAAACTCTGTCTTTCATATATATATATATATATATATATATATGTTTTATTTATTTTTATTGGAAAGATAAATCAGATATACAGAAACAAGGAAAGATTTTCCATCCACTGGTTCACTCCCCAAATGGCCACAATGGCCAGAGCTGAGCTGATCTGAAGTCAGGGGCCAGGAGATTCTTCCAGATCTCCCATGTAGGTATAGGGTCCCAAGGCTTTGGGCAGTCCTCGACTGCTTTTTTCAGGCCATAAGAACTGAGCTGGATGGGAAGCAGGGCAGCTGGGATATGAATTGGCAACTACATATGATGCTGACTCTTGCAGGCAGAGGATTAGCCAGTTGAGCCATTGCACCAGCCCTTGAAATAAATCTTTAAAGTACATTGACATACACACACAAATTCTGAACAGTTCAAGAGAGAGGCAAAGACATAAGTTTGCCTGCTGGGCCCTCCCTGTGTCCCAGTTCTCAGTAGTGAGTTTGCCTCCCAGAGCATTAACTGCTCTGGCATTCCCAGGTGGGGTCACTTGACCCCTTGGGTGGGGAAGTTGATGACTCCCCTATCCTCAGCTCGCAAGGTACCCCAGAGGCTGCTGGCAGTGGTAGAGGGAGCCAGGGCCTGCATGGTCTTTTGGGGTCGGGCAAGGGTGCTCTTATCACACCTCAGGTGTGCTGGAACCAGACTGGCTCAGGGAAGGCCAAGGCAGGCACCAACGTTAGGGATGGCACCATAGTGAGGCCATGGTGGCAGTGGACTCTCAGTGGGTGAGGGGCCAGGGACCTGCCAGAGAGGCGAGAAGCAAAGGCTGACACAGTGTGGCCTTGAACTCCAGGGAGCACTGCCAAGTCTGTCCTCTGCACCAACCTGCAGGACATGCCGGAAAGGCTTCAGGCTCTGAGCAGTCCAGACATAGCAAAGGCCAATTCATGCCCAGAGAAGGACCCCAAACAAAGACCATGCAACCCACAGTGCCTGGAACACTGCCTGACCCTCAGAGTGCTGTACCTGTTTAATGAACATTCCCCAGAGCTCCTGTACCATGAAATTCACCCTGCGAAAGTACTCCACACCCTCCCACTTCAGTTGGCTTTCACTTCTAGGAGATTTTTTATATTATTATTATTGCTTTATGATCTGGTTCCATAGGTCTAGGACTTCTTGTCCCCTTCCCCAAGTTTCCTGCACTTTGAGTTTTTTTTTTTTTAAGATTTATTTTTATTATTTTTTTATTGGAAAGGCAGATATACAGAGAGGAGAGACAGAGAGGAAGATCTTCCATCCGATGATTCACTCCCCAAGTGAGCGCAACGGCCGATACTATGCCGATCTGAAGCCAGGAGCCTCTTCTGGGTCTCCCACGCGGGTGCAGGGTCCCAAAGTTTTGGGCCGTCCTCGACTGCTTTCCCAGGCCACAGGCAGGGAGCTGGAAGGGAAGCGGGGCTGCCGGGATAGAACCGGCACCCATATGGGATCCCGGGCATGCAAGGCGAGGACCTCAACCACTTGCGCCACCACACCGGGCCCCTAACTTTGAGTTTTTAAAGATCTATTTCATTTAGGCCCCAGTGCAGTGGCCTAGCAGGTAAAGTCCTTGCCTTGAAAGCACTGGGATCCCATATGGGCATCAGTTCTAATCCTGGCAGCCCCACTTCCCATCCAGCTCCCTGCTTGTGGCCTGGGAAAGCAGTCCACGACCCAAAGCCTTGGGACCCTGTACCCACATGGGAGACCTGGAAGAAGTTCCTGGCTCCTGGCCTCAGATTGGCATAGCACTGGTCATTGCAGCCACTTGGGGAGTGAATCAAAGGAAAGAAAACCTTCCTTTCTGTCTCTCCTCCTCTCTGTGAATCTGACCTTCCAATAAAAATAGCTAACTCTTTAAAAAAATCTATTGAATTTACTTGAAAGACAGAGTTCCTGAAAGACGGGGAGAGACAGAGATTTTCCATCTACTGGTTTATTCTCCAAATGGTTGCAACATTCAGAGCTAGGCTGGTCTGAAGCTGGGAACCAAGAGTTTTTTCCAGGTCTATCACGTGAGTGCAGGGTTCCAAGGGTTTGAGCTATCCTTCCCAATTTCCTAGGGTATCAGCAAGGACCTGGATGGGAAGTGGAGCAGCTGGGACATGAACAGACACCCAAATGGGATGCTGGAGCTGCAAGGTGGAGGATCAGCGTGTTGAATCACCGTGTGGGCCCCCAACCACTACACTTCTGATCCTGCTCCCTGCTAATGCATTGGGGCTCCTGCCACCACGGGATACCCTGAGAGAGTTCCTAGTTCCTGTCATCCAGCCCAGGCCATCGTGGCCATTTGGGAAGCACATGGAATCTGCCTCCAGGTCTGCCTTTCAGATAAACAAATCCCCCCACTGCCAAAAAAAAAAAAAAAAAAAATGGCTGAAGTCCTCGCCATGCACACGCCAGAATCCCATATGGGCATCGGTTCTAATCCCAGCAGCCCTACTTCCCATCCAGTCCCCTGGGAAAGCAGTAGAGGACAGCCCAAAGCCTTGGGACCCTGCACCCATGTGGGTGACCTGGAGGAGGCTCCTGGCTCTTGACTTTGGATTGGCTCAGCTCTGGCCATTGTAGCTACTTGGGGAGTGAATCAACGGACAGAAGATCTTCTCTGTCACTCCTCCTCTCTGTATATCTGACATTCAAATGATAATAAATAAATCTTAAAAAAAAAAAAGTGCTTACTTCCAGCCCCTTCTCAAGGTCTGAAGCATTTTAATTTTTATAAAATTGCATAGAATGTAAACAATAGATTATTGTTAGGATGAAGCCCTGTGGTACAACCTCTCGGTCAAGAAAAACACACTGTGGGCCTCAAGCTCTCCATCCTGCCGGCGAGCTCTCCGTCCCAGTTCCTCCCACTCCCATCTCTGGAAGACCCCCATCTGGTCGGTTGATGATCCCATCCTCACTGGCCTGGACAGTTTTAGCTCCTCAAGGATCTGAGGCCAAAAGAAAGACAGAGGTTCCAGCAGGTGGAAATCATCGCAGGACTCAATCCCCCCAGCCCTGTTCTCATGTCTCCAGGTTACTGATTACATGGAAAAAAGTACATTTCATAAATGTGTCCCTCTGGGGAGGGAAAGAGGGAGGGCCTCAGTAAGTCTTCACAGTCCGTTCAACCATCAAATTCCAGGAAGACAGCTGGTAGTTACACATGAGGGACTCAACTCTGCTGTCCTTGCAAACTGCCAGACTTTTAGTATGTGCGTGTGCGTGTGTGTGTGTGCGTGTATGTGTGTGTGTGTGCAGTTCTGGGGCCACCAGCTGCCTTGGAGAACATACTGCTGGTGCTGCAAGAGAGAAAAACGGGTCTCCAGGGTTTTCCCAATGAGTCTTGGGGACACTGCAGAGGCTATGCATCTGAATCACAGAAAAAGCTTATTTACCCCCGAGAAACTTCACACACACACACACACACACACACACACACACACACACACACACACACACACCTTGGACCACTTTGTCGGGTCTCTCCTCTCTAGGTGCCCACTATTGACTGCTGTGGCATGAGACCCCTATCTTAAGGGTGGGGATAAAACTCAAAGGGCTGGAGTTACAATCCCATCTAGCCTACTCAAAATAAAATAAAAAGCCATTAGAATGGGTGGTGTGCTTGGTAACTTGCTTATTCTCATGGTAAGCTAAAATCTCAGAATGGTGCACTCACTGCCTCCTTGCTATTCTGACAGTAGAAATAGAAGCCCAAGGGGGGCCCGTGTGGTGGCTCAAAAGGCTAATCCTCCCCCCGCAGGGGTGTCCGCATCCCACATCGGCTTCAGTTCATGTTCCAGCCGTTCCACTTGCAATCCAGCTCCCTACTTACTGCCTGGGAAAACAGCAGAGGACAGCCCGAGTGAGAGACTCAGAAGAGGCTCCTGGTTCCTGACTTGGCATTAGTTCAGCTCCGGCCATGGCAGCCATTTGGGGAGTGAATCAATGGATGCAAGATCTCTCTTTTTTGTCCTTCTCTCTGTAAATCTGCCTATCGAATAAAAATAAATAAATCTTTTTAAAAAAAAAAACACAACACTTTGTCAAGTAGCTCATAGAACTTGGGGGGACACCAACATCTATCAGCTGCTGCTAAAGGTGGAGATGAAGAGAGGCAGAGGGCAAGTCACGTGCGAAGGAGCCCGAGGCTCCCACATCTGCTCCAGGCACTTCCATACATTCAGTTTTCTGGAAGCTTCTTGAACCTTGTTTTTGGTATTTTTGGTGAGTCCACTACATGCACATGTTGGAAGCATGGACAACCATGCAAAAACGAGACTGAGCTAGAAGGGTGTAATCCATCGGTACGGAGTGGGTGGGAGAGCCCAGCAGGCTTCTTGTAGATCTTTCTAGAGTGAGGAGGATCTGGAGACCTCGGGACAAGGGTGCTCAGAGGACACCTTTGCGGCCATGTCTCCACATGGTGGAGAGGGGTCAGATTAATCTTTGTGCTCCACCCAAGAGAAGAGAGAGTCTCGCTTCTCTCTTTTCAAGTTTTTTCTATTTTTTATTATTTTATATTTTTAATGTTTACATAACTGAGATGGATGTATGACCATGTGGACCACTGATTAGGGTGGGAATGATTGAGGAATGGGGGAAAGTGGATGAGATATTGCTCTCAATTTTTTTTTTCTTCCTGTATCTGAGGGAAAAGGAGAGGGCCATTCCCAGCAGCTAACCACATTAGTGCCCAGGGATGGGGGATGGCCACTCGATGTCATCCTAGGGTCTCTATGTGGAGCATGTTCCAAGGGTTTGGATAGTTTTGAGATGCTGTTGATTTCATTGTTCCAAGGTCGAGGAACTCCTGCCGAGGTCCACTGGCTGACATAGTCCACCTTAAATTCTCCCCTGGCTCAGACACTGCGTCAAATCTTGGAGGGGAGAGTTGTCCAGTTTGCCCTGCGCTCTATCCTCTGACATGGTGGTAGATGTCCTCTGCAGGCTTCAATGAGCTGTCATGTCCCCTATGTGCACCTGAGCATGCCTTCCACTGCACAGGCTTCGGCAACCGTGGAGACCCAGTTCTGACACATGCACTCCCAGTCAGACAACACATTCTGGGATTTTCTCCTTGATTGGAGTTTTGAATCCAGTGGTCCAGTGGGGGGGATCCCCAAAGAAACCTAGTCTGCAGTGACCCCAGATCTGACTCCTGTGGGTGTCAGCCAGTGCGGGGTCCAGCTCAATCTGTCACCCATATCAGCCAACATACCCATTATTGGTTTCAGTCTCCTGGTCAGTTGTCTCCAGCCCCATCTCATACACAAGCCAACAGATGCTACCCACCACACACTCAGTCCTCACGCACACCAGCAGAGAGATTGCAGCCTAGTTAGAAAAACTCCCAACAACCTCCAATCAGGCCTGCCCCCAGCCCTAGTTCTTGCGAATGCTGCTATGTGCAGCAGATTGGTCCAGTCTGTCGCGTATCCCATTTGGTTTTTATACACGTTAATGGGTGCTGCAGCCTAGCTCAGCCTGACTGACCCCACTATTCAGCCCACACTTAACCCTAGCAGATGCTACCACCTGTTCAGCCAAGTCCATCCCCCAGCCCTGGCTCTCATGCTCATCAATGGGGGCTACAGCCCATCAGAGGGGTGCCCATAATTTTTCTACTAGGCCCACTCCCAGCCCCAGATGTTGCACTCTCCAGGTGGTTCTGAGGTCTAGCCTGGCAGGATTTGCCCCCATTCCTGGCACTTGCCAGCTGATACTGCAGCAAAGCCCTATCAACCTGCACTTACTCTAGCTCATGGCATCAGTGAGTACACGGTTGCTTAGCCCAGCCTGGCTCTTCCCCAACCCAGCTCACATGCAGGCCAATGAGTTTTGTAGGCCTGCCCAGCCTGATCCATCCCAAGCCCCAGCTGTCATACATAATTACCAGGAGTGGGGTGGCTCACAGGGGAGCCCCCTGATATCCCTCTACTGGGTTCACCCCTCCTCCTGTCTTTCAAGTGTTAGTGGGTGCTGTGGCCCAGGCGGACACATTTTACCTCACCTTGGCATTCACTGGTGGGTGCTGTGCCCTGACTTGGCCCAGCCTGCCCCTGGTTCTACCTCATGCTGGTGGGTGCTGCAGAGATTCTAACTTCTACGACCCATTTTGGGGAGGCCATTATGAGCCAGGAGTGCTGCGTAAAAGCAATGCAAAATGTTCATGAGAGACCAGCAAGGTGGCACAGTGGGTTAAATCAATGCCTGTGACACCAGCATCTCATATGGGTGCTAGTTCAAGTCTTGGCTGCCTCATTACTGATCCAGCTCTCTAATGCTTTATCTGGGGAGGTAGCAGAAACTGTTCCAAGTGCTTGGGCCCCTGTACCCACATGGGAGGCCTGGTTGGAATTCTGGGCTTCTAGCTTTGGCCTGGGCTCTCCTCGCTCCATAAATACGACTTTCAACAGAACGAAATCCTTTTTAAAAGTTCATAATATCACAGGCATTACAAGAAAATGTTGGTTAAAAATACAGCTACAGAAAGAAGGGGAATGGCCGAAATGTTTCACCTGCTGGCTCAACCCCCAAGTGGCTGCAACAGCCAGGGCTGGGTCAGCCTGATGCCAAGGAGTCTGGAATTCCGTTTGAGTCTCCCACATCGGTGGCAAGGGCCCAAGTACTTCGGTCATCTTCTGTTGCTTTCCTAGGTTCATTGGCAAGGAGCTGGCCTGAGGGAGTCGGCGAACGCTGTCGCGCTACCACGGTGGTAGCAGGAGTGGGGACAAAGCCACAGCTGCTGCTGCACAGAATTCGCAAGGGATGAGAATGGGTCCATCACCGGGGAGAGGATCCTGCTGCAGCCTGAGGCGGGAGACACCTTTCCTTTCTGGGGCCAACAAAGCAAGGGCCTGGGACTTGGCAGTGCAACCCAGGAATCCCGCGCTGGAGACGCCAGCGCAGCCACCTGCTGCCGCAATCCAGCACCCCCGGAGCAGCCGCCGACGCGGGCAGCTGGGCTCCTTGGGCCCTGGACCGCCTCAGAGGTCCGGTGCGCGAGACCAGCGCCCGGGCGTCTCTGCAGCCGGCCACCCCCGCCCTTTCTCCGCGGGCTTTTGCACACGACGCGCCGCGGGCTGCTTCACACGAGGTGGCGAGCGCCGGATAAAACGAGCGGGCGCGGGCGCAGCGGCGGCGGTGACACGTGGGAGCGCTCGGAGCGGAACCAGAGTCAGAGCCGGAGACAGAGTCCGAGTCCGAACGAGAACCGGAGCAGCAGCGGGCGGCCTCGGGGGCGCCGGAGCTGGAGCGGACAGGCACGGTGCGCGGGCCCTGGGCGCAGGTGGTGCGCGCTACGGGGCGTCCTGTGCGCAAGTTCTAGCGCACTTTCGGAGGGGCCGCAGCGCGGGGCGCGAGGACCTGCATGGAGGTCACTGAGAAGCGGTACCTGTTGGACAGCAGGACTGGAGTCCGGTAAAGCGACAGCCCGGGGAGGGTGGGAATTTGAGCGGCCGCACCTCCTGTTTTGCGGTCTAGGCTGTGGTTAGTAGTAGTAGGCTGGAAGTAGCTCCAGGCCGAATGGGTGGGGCAAGGTTAGGTAAGAGAAAAGCGAGCCTAGCCACCTGACCAGGGATCATCTCTGCCCCTGGGCCCAACACGAGCCTGATTCCTGCTGGCGGCGGGGGGCGTGGAGGGGTGCGGGGAAGGGGCTCCGATGCTTGGCTCCCCCCACCCACCTTCTTTGCTTCCCAGCATTTGGCCTCCAGGCAGCTACGACCTGGGGTGATCCCCATTGGTCTCTGGAGCCAGAGCCCTGCACTCCTTCTCCCTGCTCCACTAATCAGCCTGTCCCTTGGCCCTTTCCCAAGGTCTCTGCTAACTCTATGCCTTGGAAAGGGTGGGGGAAGGGTGGACACCCAGGGCCAGAGCCCCAGGACACTCATTCCCCCAACTCCCACCCCATTCCTTCCTTCCACGCACAAACTTCTCACCTTCCGGTGGCTCCAAGGGGACTTGTGGGAACATCGAGACCCTCCCGGGAAAGACAGGACTGGCTTTAGTCCTTCCTGTCGCTATCTGAGAACTAAGCTTCCTCTTCCCTCCTTCTTCCCTGGCCAGGTCATACATGGGGTCTCTGTGGCAGGAAGGGATGGGCTGGATCCCCCAGCCAGGGCCTGGCCCAGACATGCAGGCCATGGAGCTGGCTGCCCAGAGCAACCACTACTGCCATGCCCAGAGGGGTGCACACAGTCAACACGACCTCAAGCGGGAGCAGGCCCGGCGCCAACTCTATGTGGCCTCTGCCATCTGCCTGGTGTTCATGGTTGGAGAAATCATTGGTAAGGACTTTGTGCCCGGTAGAGGAAGTTGGTGCCTCCACCGTCTGGGTGTCCCAGTGAAAGCTGCCCTAACAGCCCCATTCACTGAGCATGTACTGTGCTCGTTACAGACACATGAGCTTGCCAGTTCTCTGACTAGTTTTGTACTGTCATTCTCCTTAGTCTCTGATGAGATTGAGGCATGTCCGGGTTAAATGGCATGTTAGTATCAGGTAAGGAAAGGCCCGCATGCCCACAAAGCTCTAATTCAACTTGATTTTCACCTTTCCTCTCACAGTGGATGTTGTTGGCCCATTTCAGGAAGTGTGAAAGTCGAGACTCAGAATAGTCACTTACTCACAGTTGTACTGCTAATGGGTAGAGAGATCTAGAAAGAAGTGCATGCTTTCTAGAAGGCTGCTAAGGGTCCTCTACTTTCCTGGTCCTGTCCCTGCAGGTGGGTACCTGGCACACAGCCTGGCCATCATGACTGATGCAGCCCACCTGCTCACTGACTTTGCCAGCATGCTTGTCAGCCTCTTCTCCCTCTGGATGTCCTCCCGACCCGCCACCAAGACCATGAACTTCGGCTGGCAGCGAGCTGGTGAGGGTCCCTGCAGGCACTGGAGATGGAGCTAAGAGAGGGGACATTGGCTGGGGAGAAGGGGCTGGACAGGGGCTCTTAAAGGGCTCTAGCCAGTGGATCCCCAGGGGATGATAGGAGGGTGACTTGAGTCCAGGAAGGAGGTGTCAGCTTTGGCCTTGTCCCCCCAAATCTGTTGGGGGATCCCAGGGCCCAGCCTTTCAGGAGCTCCCAGTCTGCAGGGAAGCCAAGTTCATCATCCTGAGGAACACATTGGTTTCAACAAATGACAGTGGCATTCACATTGCTCAGGACTACACAGGTCAGCCCTGGAGGAGGGAAAGGTCAGTGGGAGTGACAGGCTTTAAACTCCTCAGTCCCCTGGACTGCGCTGTCATTGTCCTGTATGTGGGACATAACCCAACCACTCCTCCTGGGTCACCTTGGGTTGCCAGCTGAGCAAAGAACATTATTTACTTATTTTTTAAAGATTTATTTATTGAAAGGCAGAGTTACAGATTGAAAGACAAAGAGAGAGAGATCTTCCATATGCTGGTTTACGCCCCAAAGGGCAACAACAGCAGGGACTGGGTCAGGCTGAAGCTGGAAGCCTGGGATTCTATCTGGGTCTTCCATGTAGTTGAGGGGCCTAAGCACTTGGACCATCTTTTAAAGCTTTCTCGGATGCATTAGCAGGGAGCTGGGTCAGAAGTAGAGAGTCAGGGACTCGGAGCACACACAGCAGGTGCTGTAGGTGGCTGCTTTACCCACCGTGCCACATTTGTTCAATAAGCCAGTTTCTCTCCATGTAAAGCACAAAGGTTTGACCTGGATGCCTTCCAGGTTCCTTCCAGCCCCTTCTCAGACACAGTGATGGGATAGCAGCCCTGGCTTCAGCAGAAGGAGGCTCCGACTTGGCAAAGGGAGGGTGGCTCGTGGAGGAGGAACCTTAGGGTCCATGCTGAGGTTGGTCCTGCGGTCTGGTTCCTCCCCAGAGATCCTGGGAGCTCTGTTGTCCGTGCTGTCCATCTGGGTGGTGACCGGAGTGCTGGTGTACCTGGCCGTGCAGCGGCTGATCTCTGGGGAGTACGAAATCGAGGGGGGCACCATGCTGATCACATCCGGCTGTGCTGTGGCTGTGAACATCATGTGAGTGTGACTGGGTTCCCACCTGTGCCAGGCATCCCCAGGAAGGAGGCTGTACCACAATCTGCATGGGCCGCAGTGACAGGCCCAAGCTGTAGCACCTGGAACTCCTGGGTTGCACCTTAAGCTTAGGCCAAGGATGTCAGAAGCTTAAGTCCTGGCTTTGGGACTGGGCCCCTGTTCCTGAGACTAGTGGCTCCTTAGGGAGCCTCAGGGGTCACCCAGCATGTGGGGTTTGAGATTTTGGCGCACAGGGAGGCCAGCCCTGACAGGTAGTCTCTCCTTGCTTACCTATGACAGCCCTTGAACTTTGTCTCTGCTTTTGTAGCATGGGGTTGATCCTTCACCAGTCCAGCCATGGGCACAGCCATGGCCATGGGCACAGCCATGACGCTGGTCAATCACAGGAGAACCCCAGCGTCCGAGCCGCTTTTGTCCACGTGATTGGAGACTTTCTGCAGAGCTTGGGTGTGCTGGTGGCAGCCTATATTTTATACTTCAAGGTCAGATCCGGGACAGTGGGAAGGGGTGGAGGCGGGACACAAGACCCTTCCCAGATTCTTGCTCCCACCTAGTCCACAGTGTTTTCCACAGTTCAGAAAGGTTCTGTGGCTTGAATGTGTCACCTAGCTGAAAAGTTACAGTGTGAGATTCGAACCCAGGACTGTGTGGCTGAAGCCTGGGCATGACCCACCATATTGGGGTGATAGAAAGAGTCAGATCTTTGTCCAGAAGTTTGGCTGTCTCCCTAGCCAGCCATTTGATGTGGAGTGAGGTGTATGCTCTGGGTGAGTCTCAATTTCTCCATCTAGAAAATGGGCTGGCGGCCCACAAGGTATCTAGGATTCTTGTTAGCTCTGTCCTTGTCTCAGCCCACAAGCCAGGAAGGGTAGGAAGGGGCCAATACTGTTTCCTGAACTGTACCCTGTCCTGTCTGTTCAGATTCTGGCAAGGAAGAGGAGGAGAGAGCTGGGAGGCAGGGTCAGAGGGAGGCTCCCATCAACCCTGCAGGGGGTTTACGCACCTCTCACCAGCCCCGGCCTGGGTGGGAGCAGAGAAGGAAGTTAGGGAGAGTCAGGCAGTCTGCCTTCCCCTCTTCTTGCAGCCGGAGTACAAGTACATAGATCCCATCTGCACCTTCCTCTTCTCCATCCTGGTCCTGGGGACAACCTTGACCATCCTGAGAGACGTGATCCTGGTGCTGATGGAAGGTAACGGGCCTCAGGGCCTCCCTTTGGTGCTTGGCCCTCGAGCTCTAGGCCTCAAAAGAAGTGTGCGTGTGGATGCAAATGTGTGTGTTGAAAGATCCCTGCCCATTGGTGGGGAGCCACGATCTGGAACTTGGCAACGTCTGGAAGACCTTGGACCAACCTTGGATGACTTTGGCCTATAGCTGAAACTATTCTTGAAACTGTCTCCTGGCCCATGCCTCCCCTCTGCTGAGGCATCCACCTGGCAAGTCCGGTGGCTACCTGTGGGGTCTGGCACCAGGCACTCCAGCTGTACCCTATATACTTTCTGCTTCCAGTTGCGTTCCCTCAGGAAAGAGAGGGGGCACCAGGATCATGCTTCCCATTGCACGGAGAGGTCGACTGAGGCTCCAGACCGAGTATCAGCCCTGACCAAGTCTGCTGAGTGTACTAAACTGTGCCTCAGGAGGGCTGGCTGCCTGGGGAGGGGCTCAATAACCTCTCATCTGGGCTTTCCGGGGCGCTTGGGCCTTGTATTGTAGGTCATGGTTGTGGGCCTCTGTGGAGTCAGGGTTAGGCTGGAGTGAAGTCAGCTGCTGCCTGGGGTGCAGCTCAGCGCTTTCTCTCCAAAGAAGGGGGTCCCAGATGGCAGTGGCAATGATGATCTTGCCCTGGGGGTCCAGGACTTCACAGGTTCTGTCTTGTTCTTCCTTTCTGCCTTCTGTTAAACATCAGCATTTACATAGCACCTGCTAGGCCTTGGGTCATGTTCTGGGAATGGAGACTACAGTGGTGAACCATAGACCGCCCTGTGTTCAAGAGGGGATAGTAAATAAGTCCCATGGACATTCTGGGGTTCTTGGAACAGGCTGCTCCCATGTAGGGACTGGGAGACACCATCCTGCTGGCCAACGGGACCAACGAGGAGGAGAAGGAAGAGGAGCCAGCCCTGCCCCTCAGCCAGAGTTAGGGGAGCTGTTGACTTTACCTTGTTCCCTGCCATCCTCAGGGACCCCCAAAGGCATGGACTTCACAGCTGTGCGGGATCTGCTGCTGTCGGTGGAAGGGGTGCAAGCCTTGCACAGTCTGCACATCTGGGCGCTGACCATGGCCCAGCCCGTGCTCTCCGTCCACATCGCCATTGGTGAGTGGGTGGGACACTCAGGATGGGGCGAGGACATGCCCAGGGGTCCTGATAACCTCAGCTGTAGGAGGCATCCATGCATCAGGCCTGGCCCAGGTCACTGGTACACTCCCATGGGCCCTGTCCTGTTCTGTTGGGGAGGGGTGGGGAAGGATGGGTGCACAACTTGGGCTTCTGATTGTCGCCAGAGACCAAGAGTAAGTAAACCTTCTCTGGTGCCCTAGCGGAGAATGCAGATGCTCAGGCTGTGCTGAAGATGGCCAGTGCCCGCCTCCAGGGGAGGTTCCACTTCCACACCATGACCATCCAGATCGAGGACTACTCTGAGGACATGAGGGACTGCCAGGCATGCCAAGGCCCCTCAGACTGATCTCCTAGCCCAGGGCCCACAGGGACACAAACAGGACCTGCAGGGAGCCGGCCTGACTGTCCCCAGGCTCAGCCAGGACTGTGCCTGCCCGAGCCGTGTTATAAACCAGCCCTCCTCCGGACTTCAGCCTGCAGGTGTGGGACGGATCCTTGCCTGACTCTATGAATGGATCTCTTCCTGGCCCCTCCCACCTGACTGCAGCCAGCCCTGGGGGTTCCTCAGCAGATGTGCAGGTGATGGGATTCAGGCCTACAGCTCCCTGCAAGGCTGTGTACCGGCTATGCCCGCAGCCAGCGCTGTCCTCCCCCACAGCATGAGTGGGAGTATAGGGCAGGCAGACCACAGCGTCCTCCAGCTGGCACCTCACCTTCCCTCACGCAGCTGGGAGGAAGCCCTGAGACCGAGTCCCTCCTTCTGCAGGAACAGTCGAGTTGAAGGCAGCCTAAGGGGGTGCAGAGCTGTGAGGAACCCACATCCTCCTTGGAGTCCCCCTGAATCAGGGAACCAGGTGTCTGAGTCCTGGCTGAGCCTTAGTCCCTTTGGCTGGGAGTCAGACACATCCCTTTCTTGGGGGGGCTTCAGGAGCTGCCTCCTGGATAAGGACCTCGCCTTTTGCCTCTTTGCTTGCTCTCCCTGCCCAGGAAGTTGCCCCAAGTGGTATGAGCACATCCAGGGTTCACCCGGGACCCTCCGCGTACAACCTCTCCCTGGGCCACTCCCCTATCTAGTTGCAAAAGCTGAACTCTGACCGGGCTGAGCCAGCTCTACTGCCTGTACAGCCTGATGGGGTTGCTGTACCGGACACAGCTCAGGGGGCCAGGGAGCCATCTGCAAGGGAAGACGCTGACTCCTGGGCCGAGAGGGGGAGAGAGAGAAAGAGAGAGAGTTCACAAGAAGGAAGACCAGTGTCTCAGAGGTCACGCACCTGAGCCCCAGGTCCAAGATCTGTTCCTGGCCATTGCTAAGCCTTTCTGTGCCTCCGTCTCACCTGCAGTCAGTGCCTACCTCACAGAGCTGTGGGGAGGACAGAAGTCAACTCAGCCACGGACCTGGAGTGGTTGTCTGCTTTGATCATTGGCCTGGAAAGCTAGGACCCCACAGCCTGAGGCTGCCTTGCTGAGTGGCTGGGCCCTTGGCAGCTCCAAGTCTGACTCTGTCCTTGCAAGAGACAGAGGGAGGAGGAGCAGGCCATCTGCCTTTCCCTTTCCATCTGTAAAATGACCTCTGCGCCATGAGGCCTGCAGGAAGGCATTAGGGTTGCCCTGGAATGGGGCCTATAGACTCCAGGATCCTAAGTTTTGCTGTGTGCCAAGTCCTTACCCCTCTCTGAAGAGATGGCCACAGTTGTCCTCCACGTTTCAAACAAGGCTCAGAGAGGCTGAGTTCACTGCCTCAAGTCACACAGCGAGGAGGAGTCAGGTCTGGGGTTTCTGCCTCACCAAGAAGGCCTTCTGCTCCTATCAGGGCTGGAAGCTGTGGGCTGTTGCAGGCTAAGCAGTTTGCCCCATGTATGGGGCAGCTGCGACTGGAAAGGTGCCCATCTCCTGGCTGGGCCTGGCACCTGGAGCCACTGGCCCTGGGAAGGCCTCTGGTGCTGCAGCTGTGTGCCTGCACACCCACCTCCTTGGCCTTGACTCTGAGCCAGATCTCACCTGCTTTTCACTTGCAATCCCCCTGCACCTGTTACTGCATGACCCACATCTCCCCCACAGAGAGCCCACTCAGTAAGCCCAGCTGTGACAGGCCCCAGGGACAGCCTGAGTCACCCCTAGGCTGAAGGCTTAGGGGACGGCATGCCCAGCCAACGGGCCAGTCACGGGAGTTTCCAGAGCCGTGAGGCCATCAAAGCAAGAACACACCCAACACCCCCACCCTCCCAAAGTCGCCTTCGCTCCAAGGCGAGTCCTGAATTTCCTCCCCGCGCAGCTGCTGCAAGGGTATTTATAGCCTGGGCGTGAGGGGGCAAGGACATGAGCTTTATTTCGGAAGTGATAATTCCAGTTCCAGGTGGGTGAGTCCTGGAGAACCTTGGGTCCCCTCCCAGCCGTCTCCACTCCCGCGCAGCACCTCTAGACATGGCCCTTTGCTGAACTGCAGATGTACAAGCCACAGGGGCCTTCTGCATTTCTTCTGTACTGTGGGTTTCCAGTCCTGGGGCTGCGGATGCCCCTGACCACTTAGGGGCTGGGCACTCTGCTGGGATACCAGGCGGAGGCAGTGCAGCGCGGTGCTGGCCTCTAGTGGTCCAGTCCGGTAGCACAGGGAGGGCGGGAGCGCCTACACTACTGGCTTCCTCACACTCTTTACCCAAGCACCTGTGGATAGCTGCCTCTCGCCCCATGCCTAGCAGGCCCAGGACTGGGGCACCAGCTTTTGTCTCGGCGCACCCTGTTTCAGATTCCTGTGTGACTGGCACACAGGTAACATCTCCCTCTACCAGTTCCCCAGATAGTGGCCAGCCGGTGCCCCTGCCAGGCTGGAGAGAAGCTGACATGATCCATCCTCCAGGGCTCTCTGGCTGTTTGGGACCTGAGGGTCTAGAGCTTGCTAGGGCTGCAAGAGCGCCAAGGAGCCCGACCCCCCAGCGGGCGGGGGCAAGGGTTGCACAGTGCTGTAGGAGCAGGCAAGGACCCAGGCTGCAAGCAGTTGTCAGCGTGGGGGAGGTGTCCCGGCCGTGATCGACTGGCTCGGCTCTGACGCTTGGCTTGGCTACCTGGCCACCCGGGGTTGGTTCTCCACCTTCCTGCAGACAGGTGCCGCACTAGGACTTCTCCAGACTGCGGTACTTCTTGCGTTGCACCGACACTGGGTCTTTGAACAGCACTGGGTCTAGCCGCAGGCGAGATGATACCAGGGGCATGTCGCCAAACCATGCAACCACCTGGTTGATGCAGTCCCGGGCTGAAGGCTGCGACTCTGGTCCAGGCCCTGAGCCCCCCGGTGCCTGAGAGAGTGGGGCAGAAATGTCTTGATTGGCTTCTCTGTCCTTGCAAACTTCTGCCCCGTCCCCCAACAGGAAATAATCAGGTTCAAGCACTCCTAGGGCGGCTGGTCCCCCTAGCTCACTCACCGACAGCTCAGCTTCCTGGTGCCACCTGGCATGGGGCACTTTGATAGGGGGCAGCTTGGTGACAGCTGCCACTAGGAAATTCATCAGGATGTCCAAGCACGCAGGTGACTCATCTGCCAGGGTCCTCAGTGACTCGGGCAGGGAGTGAGTGAAGAGGGTATGGTAGTACCTGGGCCGGGTGGGAGAGACAGACTGCAGCAGAAAGAGGGTGTCCCCCAGGGGCCCCATCCCAGGGACAAACAGCTCCCCCTGTCCTGGGCCCACGTGCAGCCAAGTGTGCATCTCCACTCCCTCCCTCGCAGCTTCCTGGGGCTCTGAGCTCACAGGCCGACTTGGGGTTGAGGGAGATCAGCTCATTTCAAAGCCACCTAGCAGGCACAATAAGAGCAAGTTCAAAGAGCTAAGGCCTGAGCCCGGGCTGCCTGGCTGCCTGGGACAGTCTTCAGGCATTCGGGTCACTCTCCAGAAAATTTCCTGCTGAGGTTCTGGGTCAGTGCACGGGGGTCTCCAGGTGAGACACACACTCAGTTTAAACCTGTGCAAGGAGCCCCTGCAAAGGAGTGAGTCCTTCAGAGTTCAGAACCTGCCGCAAGGCTGGGGTACCACAGGCCTGAGATGGTCCCTCGAACACATCACACCCACATTTATGGAGCATCAGAGCCAATAGGGTGGCACGGTGAGTTAGGCAGCTACCCGCCAACACTGGCATCCCATATCAGGGTGACAGAGTTCCAGCTGATCCACTTCTAGCCCTGCACCCAAGAGAGCAGCAAAAGATGGCCTAAGTATGGACCTGCCACCCACATGGGAGACCTGGCTGGAGTTCCAGGCTCCCAGTGCTGGCCACCGTGACTGTCTGGTGAGTGAACCGGTGGATGGAAGCTCTGCCTCTCCCTTTCAAATAAATAGATAATCTTTTTTTAAAACAATGATCTTGTCCTATGACCACCAACTTTCAACCTACCTGCTGACTCAACTCATGCTGTAATTCTACCTACAAAAGTACCAGCTGGGATTTGGGGGACATCATGTGCCAGGTGTTCCAGGTTCCAGTCATACCAGCACTGTGGCGTGGGGATGTCCCATTTTATAGATGAAAAAGCAGAAAACTTCAAGGGAGAGGAAACTTGCCCAGGGCAACATGGTTGGAAGGGGCCGCTGCAGGCCTTGCACCTGGGCTCTGTACTTGAGGACCTGGTGCCCTGACCCCTGGGATAGGGTTGGGTTGGTACCGGTGGTAGAAGGTGGCTGTGGTGAGAACCATGGAAAACTCATTGGCCCTCTCAGCAGTGTGGCTCCAGCCACCCCCGGCTTCGTTCCAGAAGTGGCTATGTGTCACAAAGCCCACCATCCGCTCTGGAAAGCTCTGCCACACCCCGAAGGCAAAGTCCACCTGTAGGGGAATTTAGGCGAGTTATGAGAAAGGACTTACCAAACACCTTGCAACAGCCAGAGACAGGGAGAGGAAGCCTGCCTGGCTGAGGGCTTAGGGTGTGAGGCTCCAAGGACAGGAGTTGGAATTGTCTAGAAAAACAATATTCTCAAGACTATGACAAACCTCTGACTTTTCAAGAGCAAGCTGACATGGCTTGCTGAGGATGAGGGGGCGGTGTCAAAAGCAAGTAGCTGAACCTGCCGTGTGTGGCCCTGCCAGCTCTGGGAATTGGGGTGGAAGGGGGTGCTGCCAGGGCCCTCACCTCACTTGTGGAGACGCTGCTCTGGGCGTCCAGGCTGAGGACAGCGTCGGTGCTGATGGTGCTGTACGGGAGGAAGCGGGCGCTGGCCTGCAATGGGAGGGGGCGGGCATGACTCAGCTGGGGAACACCCTCCCTCCCTCCCAGTCCAGAAGGAAGGGTAAGAATCCACAGTCCTGCCCAGAACCCACTCTGGACCTGTTGAACATGTGTGGATTTCAGGTCCCCTTGGGAAAAACGGGATGTTTGATCTCTGGGGGTCCTTCCAGCTTTGAATCTCAGGATTCTTCCATCAGCAGCCTATTGGATACTCATATCAACCCTGGACGGGGCTTTGGAGGAAAACAAGGCTATGGAGCCAAAAGATGTGACCAAGAGTCTATGGCCAGCAGGTGGCAGGCGTCAACCTTTGGCCAGCCCCAGGGGCTGCCCTCTGACCACTAGTGTTCCAGATGTATCCCTGTCCGGGGCTCCAGTTCACAGGGTCAAGGAGACCCCGGAATCGTTTCTACTAAAAGCACAGCCTGATTTCCCCCGGTGTAACCTGACATGAGTGTGGACTCAGGACCCTGGAACACAGCCCAGGGCACCCTCCTGGCTGCCAGCATGAGCCCACCCCTTCCCATTCCTCACCTTCCTAAGCCCATCAATGACGGTCACAGGCACTGCTGTGTCTGGCCACCTGGTTGGCAATGGTCTCGCACTGCTCCAGAGAATCAAGATCTAGCAGGAAAGGCAGTGAGATGGAGGTGAGGTGGGTGGTTCCTGAAGTCTGGGGCCTCAGGCAGAAGTGGGGAGCCCAGGAGGCATCCTTCCCAGGACAGAACAAGAGTGGGAGATCAGCTGCATACGGGAGGGTGGCTTAGCTGGACTCCAGGTTCTTCCATGGCCATCTGGGCTTCTGGAAAGTGGCACTTCTGGAGACAGGAAGGCACCTGCTGGGCCTAACTACATGCTCCACCCCCACTTGCTCTCTGAGATCTCCTCTCCAACTGGTTCAGAAGTACCCTCCACCCCCAGCCGAGTTCATGGCTTCTTTCAGACTTCTCCGGGACTGAGATCTGACAGCATGCCAGGCGATGCTAACTGCATTGGAACCCTGCACAGAATCCTTTCCCGTCTGTTTCTGGTCCAGTTCCTGACCTCAGAATAGGACTGATGACTGAATGAATGAATGGCTTATTTTCTTTTAGTCCCACCTCCCCCACCACCCCCAGAAAAGGCAACTGCTTTTCAGTGCGTTTCACCACATTCCAGGAGAGTCGGTGGGGGGGTGGAGGGAGGAAGAACAAGAAGCTTGGAACTTGGGAAGGCAGCCAGGGCCCCTGCCCCCCACCCCAACCTGGGGTGTATGGCCAACCTGGGGCCCTCCTGGTCTCCAAGGGCCCAGTCCCATCCCTTGCCCCAACTCTGGATCCCAGGACCCTGGTTGGCAAGGATGCAGACCTGGGCGCAGTGCTGGGACTCTGCTACTGTGTGAATGAGCTTCAGAGGTGGCTGGCTGAGGGATCCAACCCAGATCAGGGCACTGAAGCTGCTCTCAGGGCGGGAACCTGGGCAGAGGAGACGTGGGTGTCAGGGAGGAAGGGGACAGAACCCTTGGAGAGTGATGGAAGTTGGGAAGAGGGTAGGGATGGGGGCCGGGAGAGGTGCTGGGGGCTTGGAGCTCCATGGGGGCAAACATGGGGAGACTTTAGGCTGTCCTTCACCCAAGCATACCCTGCTGCAGGTGGTAGAAGGGGAAGTCCCGGGGGCTCATGGAAAAGGTGGGCAGGGCCAGGAGTGCCCCTGGGGGGTTATTCCACAGCAACCAGTCATGCACAGAAGCTCCAAAGATGCGAGCCCGCAGAATCTGAAATGACAGGTGGCCATGCAGAGGAAGTGGCCAGTCTGGTGGTGGCCACAGGCCCTTGGCGTCTCCAGGGAGTCAGCAGCTGCATGGCCAGGCCTCAGCACTGGGAAGCTGCGGTCCAGCATGGAGACCCCTGAGATAAGGATGCAGAGGTGGCAGATGGAGACAGGCTGGCCATCCCCACTCTCCCTCCCCCTTCCCATTTCCTTCCTCACTGGTGGGTCAGGATCTTCTTTCCTGACCTGGGATCCCTCCTCTGAGACCAGCGCTTGGCCAAGGAAGTGTGACTGCGGACTGACCAAGTGGGCACCTGCTTGGAAATCGACCTGCCACAGTCAGGGACAGCAAGGGCAAGACAGGAGCAGAAACCCACCCAGGGTCTCACAGCCAAGTCCCAGATCCACTGCAGAAGCATTTTCAAAGGAGAAGCCCAGGAAGAAAGAATAGAGTGGGGATGAGGATGAAGCAGAAGTTCAGGGACCGGGCCCTGCTCTGGGGAGTGTCTCTTACCTCCAGAGCCGTGTGCACGACCTTCTCCACGGAGGAAAAGTAGGCTGCCCACAGAAACTGGGTCTGCTGCCGCAGGGCGAGGACCCGTGCAGGGGGCATCTCCCGGAGGGCAGCCAGGACCTGCAGGACACAGACAGGGGAAGTGAAGAGGCCTGGAACCTCAGCCAGCCTGGTTTCACTGGTGGGGCAACCTGCAGAGGAACCCCATGATCTCAAGTGGGTAGCAGCAGCCACCCCTGGCCAGGCCTCAGGGAATGGAAGAGCCAAGGGGCCAGGGCCCACCAGAGCTGCAGTAACATGGCAGCCAGGCGATTGTCATCAGATCGCCCAACCTCCCCATCTCAGTCTCATCATTGATGTGGAGGGGCTGCCCTCACAGGGTGGGTATGAGAGTTAAAGTGGATGACATGCGTGCAGTGCCTGGCACACGGAAGAGGCCCAATAAATAGACAGTAGCAAAGCTGGCACCATGGCATAGCAAGTTAAACCTCTTCCTGTGGCACTGATATCCCAAAAGGGTACCAGTTCAAGTCCCAGCTCACTTTCCATCCAGCTCCCTGCTAATGCACCTGGGAAAGCAGCAGAAGATAACCAAAGTGCTTGAGTCCCTGCTCAAGTGAGAAACGCGAAAGAAGCTCCTGGCTTCTGGCTTTAAACTGGTCCAGCTCAGGTTGTTGCAGCCATTTGGGGAGTGACCAGCAGATGGGTACTGAGGTGGCCATGAACCATGAGAGCTGGGTACATGGCCATCATCTGGTCTAAGTGAAGAACTGGGGAAACTGGACCTGGAGGAGGACTGGGACTTGTTTTTGAAACCCCTAGGAGTGTCTGCCTTCATGGGATTTTAGGGGTGTCAGGGGTGGGGTGGGAAGGCTGAGAGACTCATCACCAGGCATCAGAAGCAGGGAGAGCTGAGGGCTGAGGCCAGCCTGGGTACCAGCATTCTTGGGGTCCTTTGCGGATTGCTGCCCGAGTTACCTGTAGGGCTTGCCTCTCATCCACTACGATGGATGCCTTCGTCCAGTCGATGACCTCAGAGAAGGGAAGCTCCCAGCGTGGGCTGAGCAACACAGGGATACAGCCAGCCTGGCAGGGGAGTCACAAGGAGAACCAGGTCCACCCTGCACAGATCTGCCTCTTCCAGTTCTAGGCAACAGTGACTGTGGAAGCGGTGGTACAGGGGGCGGTGTATGTGGCCCCAGGTGCACCCTGGGCCCCGGAGTAAAGATGTGGGTGACTCCCGGCTTCCTCCCTAGTTCCCTGCACCCAGTTCCAGCTCAGGAGTGAGGGGCCACTGATAATGAGGGATGCCCCTGTTGGGTTGTACCTGTAGAGCTTGGAGAAAGCGCCAGGCGTCAGGAAGTTGGCCAGGGATGAGGCAGAAGGTGGCATTGGGCAGCATCTCCCTAGGCTGGCTCCTAAGAGACATCTGCACTTGAGACAGTGCCCCTTTGCCCCTACCCCTGCCAGGCCCCCGTTACCAACACTCCCGGGTGCAGCCACACCAGCATGGTCGCCCACCCATGTAAGCAACACCAGTGCGCATGCGTGGATGCACCGCCATAACCACAAGCCACGCGCCACCTCTTCTGCTATGGAGGTAGGAGCCCAGTGTGGCCTCCAACACTTCATTTCCTTCCCTGTGCCTCAGTTTCCTAGGCTGCAGAATGGGAGGCAGTGAAACCCCGATCCCCCAAGGCCGTGTGTGGCTCAGGAGGGTGCATGTCTGTCTTCCCACTGCCCTGCACACACGCTCTGGGTGGGGGCCCTCACCTGAGAGGCCTGGCGCCTGACCCTCCCCCAGCCCATGAAAGGCTGCTCTGTCCGGAGGCGGCAACTGGGCTGCAAGCCTAGAACCGCACAGGAAGCCGCTGCCCGGAGGCCCTGGGTGGAGGACAGGCCGGCTCTGTTCCTCCCACCTCCTCCAGCCCCGGGCCACACTCGGGCTGTGTATGTGTGTGGGAGAGGAGTCAACACTGCCTCCCCCGGGGTGTGGCAGGAAACGCTGCTGCTGATCACACCGGGCAGGTATGGGGTGGGGGCCGCAGGGGTATCGGGCCCAGAGGGTCAACCTCTGCACCAACCCCAGGTGAAAGATAGGGAGCTGGAAAGACCTAGAGACGGGCCAATGATCCCAGGAATGGTTGAGCCTACCCCTGACCCCAGGCCATCTGAACCACCTCAGAGCTGGGGCCTGATGCCCATGGGACAACACCTTCTTTCTCCTCTTTCTCCTGGAGGAAGCCACATCAAATCAAATAGCAGGTCCCCTTCTCGTGTAAAGCTGTTGCATCTGCCCCAGCCAACCAGGCACAGGCCACAAACCGTAAGTGTTACAAAGTCCTAAGTTAAGGTTTGGAGGAGACCAGAGAGCAGCGCTTGGATCCCTGCCTCCCTGGACCCTTGCATGCCCTTTTGCTCACCCTGGAGTGCCCCTTTTCAAAGGTGCAGAAGTCACCTCTGGGAAGCCCCTCTTGTTTCTCTCTCTTTGTGTCCACCTCCTATATGCTGCGGTCATCATGATCCCGGCTAACCTTTGGTGAGTATGTACTTCTGCTCCATGCACACTGCTAAGTGTTTGTCTCAGCCTCATGGCAGCTCCATGAGCTGTGCAATGTTACTGTTAACATCCCATTTCACAGACAAGGAAACTGAGGCCGAAGGTGTCCCGCCGCTCTGCAGCTCACACAGCCTCTCCCTGCTCTGCAGAGTGTGTCCAACCCCCGACTTGTCTGTCTCCCAAGAGGCTGAACTCCTCAGGAGGCTATTCTGCCCTTGTCTCAGTCTCTCCAGAGCCTGGCAGGGTGTCTGGTGGAGAATGGGCACTCACTGGGTACTGAGTGCATGCCTGCCCTGTGCGGCCCTAGAGGACGGGTCTGAGGCCAGCGGACCCAGGGCCTGGGAGTTCGGTTTCTACACAGATGGAACTTAGTGTGGTCTCGGGCGCTGCTAAGCTGCCAGTCAGAGGAGGAAATAAGTATTTGCGGGCAAGGAAACCCCTGTGTAGGGGGCAGAGGGAGGGTGCTACAGAGGGAGTTGTGTGGCACTCACTGGGGTCTGACACAAACTCAGGATCTCTGGACTCATGGGGTTGTGTGGCCCTTCTCCCACTGTGGGACTCTTCTGGGGCCTGGCCACGGGCAGCACCGCACGCTGGCTTCCACATGGTCAAGGCACTTCGACCTAGACAGCTCTTTCTGCCGTTGTAAAATGGCAGTGGCAAGTGTGATGATGTAGCACGCTAATCCTCTCTCTGCAACCACCATCTCATATGGGCACTGGTTTGAGTCCTGGCTGCTCCACTTCCCATCCAGCTCCCTGCGTGTGGCCAGGGAAAGCAGTGGGACACCTTGAAGACCCTGGCTTCCAGCTCTCGGATCAGCTTAGCTCTGGCCATTGTGACCATCTGGGGAGTGGACTAGCAGGTGGGAGATCTCTCTCTCTCTCTGTCTCTCCCTCTTTCTCTCTAACTCCGACTTTCAAGTAAAAATAAAAATGAATAAATCTTTTTAAAAAGCACTGTGTTGGCATAAAAACTAACACGTTATATCAAAAGACTTTCTTGGATCTAAAAGTTCATTGTGCCCTTCTGTGTAGCAAAGAATCCAAAACATTTTCTTGGAGTCCTAAAAATGTCACAGGCCCCAGACAGTGGTGGCAGGCTAAGGTTAGAGAGGGCTGACAAGACGCATGCCTCGCGGGGAAAGCAGGCCAGGGCTGGCCTCGCTGCACTGGGCTGCCCGCGGCACAGCCCCTCCAAGCAGAAGCACAAGCCTTTGGCAGTGGCTCCAGGAAGGGACGCTGGTGGGTGGTCAGGAGGCAAGGAGAGGGAGGAGGCTTCAGACTCTGTACCCTTTTGTACCTTCGAAATTTTGTGGGCTGTGAATGAATTACCTATTCATACAGATGAATAAATAACCATTCTCAATGGGTAGAGACTTATTCCAAAGCAACAAGGAAAGTACGAGGTTTGAAGCCAGATGTATGGGGCGCTGCTGCAGAGTGTCTGATCTGAAAGGTGAGGGGCAGCAGAGGACAAGGGCCCCCTGTGAAGGCACATGTCCTCCGTCTGAACGTCAACTTCCCAACCCTGAGATGGAGAACAAAGGATCCCACTGGAAGGGTGCCTGAGGGGCTTACAGGTGTGTGGCCAGCTCTGTGACCTTTAACTTTGTTTTTTAAAAAAAATCAAGATAACTTTGCTTTGGTATAAAATATTTTGACACCCGTGCATATGAAGGGTCTTCAAAAATTCATGGATTATGCACATGATGGCAAAACTATGCACAAATGTCAATTTTTTTTGCAGCAAACGAAACATCTGTAATTCAATTTTCTGCAGATTTTTTGAGGGAACTGCATAGCTATCAGATTCACCTGTGACTAACTGCATGTAATGATAGTTCAAATTAGCTGAGGGAGGGACTTCCTGAAAGCAAGCAGAGCTGAGTGCCTCATGAAGTGAACAAGGGAGTAGGGCATGCTGAACGGACCACCTGGTCACCAAAGCTGAGCTTCAGACGGAGCCCTGACATCCTGGGGGTCAGCTAAGAATCTGCACCATGCGTTGATCCTGGCAGAAGGACTGCAGGGCTACATGGGGTGACCCTGGCTGTGAGGGCTCCCTGCCTCCCAGGAGACACAGGAACCCCATTCCCACTGGAGCCCCAAGCCAAGGCAGAAACAGAGTTCAGTGGTGAGAAGAATTCCCCAGGAGGGAAGTGGTGCTTAGAATAGCTGTTGTTGTTCCAGTAGAGATCAGAGAGGGACCAAGGGAACACAGCCACACGACAGTCTCCAGCTCAGGTCTGCCCTAGGCGCTGGGACAACCTCGGAGGGACCTCTATGCTGGCCTGCCCAGCAAGCCATTAGAGCTGCCACCTCTGGGAACACAGAGGGACCAAGGGCCACCATCTCACCTGAGTGTGTCACTAGGAGCAACCCATAAGGTCCCCAGGTGGCACAACCCCCAGCTCCTGTACATTATCAGGCACTTCCTCTAGCACCAAGTTTTTCCTCCCATCCCACCTGGATCTGGGTCCCATCACCTAGAAGGGAAGGCTGCAGCTTCCTTGGAGGGGCTGTTCCCCATGGCAGGTGCAGGAACAGCCTCCAGTTGTGATCTGCCACTCATCTCCCTGGCCTCTCTGAAGCATGCCACAGGCTTGATCATGAACTCTCGCTTGAAATTCACAACTTTCCTACCACTGGCTTTAAAGACAGGTGATTTTGGATTAAAACACCAGCTGTGTCCCTTCTGACCCAGTTACTTAACCTCCCTGAGCTGTCATGTCTGATAGAGACACTCAGGGTTAGCGATTAGCACTATCATATTCATTATTACCAAAGCAATAAGTATCAAGATGCCACACGGTAGCAGTTTCAGAAAATGCCAGGGCACAGGGGACTGAACTACTGGAGAGGGAGTTGGGAAGGGAAGAGAAGGGAAGGAGTTTCGTTTTTTTAGAGGCTCCTGAAACAGAAGAATAAAGCCTGCATATAGACAGCTGAAGCCAATGTTTGCCAGGACCAGCAGTTTCTCCCTCTTAACCCTTGACACTCCTAGGTCAGCTCCCCTCCCACCCAGCCCCCAAAGGGACAAAGTCACTTACTGCTCGCTTCCAGGGTCCTGATCACAGCTCCCATCCCAGGAACCGGCAGAGGAGTTGGCCCTTGCGATGCACCACCTGCCCCTCTCCCCAGCCAGGGCTAACAGGGCAGCCCCAGGGTGGGGGCTGTGCTGCCGCAGCTGCCCAGGAGCCCCACCTCGCAATGGGTGGGCTTCAGGGAGGTGAGGGAGGGCCACATCGAAGCCAGGTCGGAAGGTATCCACTGTGGGGGTGGCCTCCGCCACCATTGCCTGTCCCAGCTGGAAGCTACGTGGGCAGGAGGCTGGATGGAGAGTGAGGACCATGTGGTTCTTGCCCTCGTTCCACTGCGGAGGCACCTGGCTGCACCCCTCAGGGCCGGGGAGGAAGAGCAGAAGGCAGGCCTCGGCTGGGCTCCACGTATAGTAGGGTAAGCCCTCCAGGGAAGCCAGGATCCTGCGATGAGCCTCCGAGGTGGATCCCACCACTGGGTACGCGAACACCTTGAACCCATCTGCCCTGCACTTGTGGGCATCAAAGCAGGCTCCCCGGTAGCAGCTGCCTCCAGTGGGGGCTTGAGGTGGAAGGGCGGTTTCCAAGAGTTCCTCAGGCTGGAAGAAACTCTGCAAGAGTTCAGCATCCTGCCAGCGGGGCCAGCCATGGGGGGATCCCGGGCCAGGCTGGGGGGGCACTGCTGGGCGCAGAAGCGGAAAGATCTCCAGAAGGATGAGAAGGAGACAGGAGGCTGACAGTGCCAGCCACAGGGGCTTTCGACCCAAGGACTGCATATGGGGCACCCCCAACTATGGCTCAGGGGAGCTGGGGGCCCCTTGCCAGCAAGCAGCAAGCAGTGAGCAGCAGGTGTGGGCACCCAGAGCTGGGATCAGCGTCCTAGGCTAGCACTCTCACGGTACAGATGGAAAGATGAGGCCCATGAGGCAAGTTTTCTGTGTGAGGCTGAACAGCAAGTCATAGATCAGGTGGAAAGAAACCCCAGCTGCCCAGCTTGGCCCCCTTTGCTCACTCAGGACTCTGCCTTCTCCGTTTCTGGACACCCAAGCCAGTGTGGCTCTCCCAGAAGGGTCCCTGCCCCTGAGCACGGCTCAGGCTGATGCAACCCCTACCCAGACTGCAAGGCCATGCCATGTCCCTCTACCCCACTGGCCACACTCCCTGACCTCGCCCTTGACCCAGAGGACGGCTGTCAGCCAGGCCATGGGCTGGTCAGAACTCCCCCAAGGGTGACTGGCCAGGGGCAGGGCTGGTGGTAAGCAGGGTCCCAGTAGACCCAGCCACCTCTGTCCCTCCTAGCAGGCACTCCCAAACTGTGGCTGTGTGGCTGGAGCTAAAATTAGACTCCACATCCCATATAGGCCATCGGGTCAACTGAAGTCAGGACTGGGGTGTAGCCAGTGCTGCTCCCCCAAACTGGCTGGTGGAGAGGGTGCAGGTGGTGCTGGGAGGGTTTGCGGTCCTGTTCAGTCTGCTGCTGTCCCAGTTCAGTCAGCACAGCCGCCCCTGTGCCCAGCCTGGCAGCTCCCCGGCATCCCCTGGCTGTCACCATGCAGAAGCTAAGGCTGCCACCGTGCCAAACTCCTGTCCCATGCAGCCCCAAGCTCCAGCGGCGTCCCAGCAGTATCCTGTTCCCTCTCCAGGCAGCGTTGGAACTAGTCTCAACCCTTCTCAAAGCAGCTGCAGCTCCTCCCAAGACAGCGCTGATTGGCTCCCAGCTAGGAGGCAGGGTCTCAAATTTAACCCCTTCCAAACCAGTTTCCTAAAATGCTGGGATAAGAATTGACCAGTACCACACCTCCTTGCTGGCTGTGTGCCCTGGCAGCCTCTGGCTCCCAGACTCCTCCGACCACCTTCCAAGGCAGAGCCCTGTCATCTCTCAGGCCCCAAGGAAGTGGAGCCTCAAGAGGAATGAAGTCTTCCTGTGGTAGTCCGGCAAAGAAGTAACAGGTGGGAATTTGCACCCTGGGCTGGATGTCAGCACACCCTGGGCTGGATGTCAGCACAGAGTTGGGGGGTCGCCTACAGAAGAGCGAGAAATAAAGGAAGGGAGAGTGTGAGTCGGACAATGTCCCCACAAGATTGGTCCCACCTTCTTTCAGTGTCCCAGCCCCAGCCTTTTGCTTCAGACCCTGTGGGTTCCCCTTCAACTTGATTCCGCCAGTCCATGTCCCAGTGAGGATTCCCCCAGTGAATTCTTCAATGTGCGCTTTGTGGGGAGAGTCAGGAAGTAGGCAATAGGACCGTCCTTCACTGAGGAATTACCCCTCTCATGGGGGAGACAGATTCTGGCTGCCAAGAGCCCCAGTCTGATGAGGGAGGCACACAGGGATTCGGAAGACCTGGAACAGAGCTTTGCCTCCATCTGGCTGCTGCTGGGGCCTGCTGGGCCTCTGGCCCTAGATCTAGGAGGTGAGCAGCTCCCTGGCCTGGCCCCTGGGTTCAGGATGGGGAGCTGCTCCCTTCCTGTGCTGGGCCATGTTGCCCCCATGAGCAGCCAGTCTGAGGGTACGAAAGAACCAGAAGATGAATGAAGGGAAAGCGGTGTCGTGGCACTGATGGCAGGTCACAGAGGCGCACATGGTGTCCCTGCCTGCATCAGACCCTCTCAGGCTAAAGGGAGCTTTGAAGGAGCCAGTGCTACCAGGCTCAGTCCCTTCCTTCCTCCTGGCCACTGCCTCCTCCTCCCATAGGAGTCCAGGGAGGCTCCAGTCTGCAAGAGGCTGCCCCAGCGCTCACACTGGGTTCCTCTAGGTTCTCATGGCACTCTTCATCCTTGTGCCCATCCATCCATCCATCCATTCATTTCTGTGGCAAATCCTTCAGAGTACAGGGCTGGGCATTGGGAGACGTGGCTTGAGACTCCCAGGTCCCATGTCAGAGTGTGTGGGTTTCAGGCCTGGCTCTGCCTCTGAGTCCAGCTTCCTGCAACTCTGCACCCTAGGGGCAGCAGGGGATGGACCAGTACTTGAGTCTGCCACTCACTCACATGGAAGATCTAGATGGAGTGCCAGGCTCCTGGCTTCTTGATCTGCCAGGGCCTAACTGCCACGGCATTTGGGGGAAATGAAAGCTCTATGACTCTCAAATAAATATATTCTTTAAGACCCTAAATACTGAGCCAGGTTCTATGTGAGGTTCGAGGGACACAACCCTGGGAAGGGAATGGCCAACTTTCCTATGTGGCAAGTGTGCTCTCAGAGCTAATAGGATAATTCTGTCTTTGAAGAAGGGTAATGCAATGATCCCATTCTACAGATAATGAAACTGAAGGTCAGGAAGCTTAAACCATCTGTCTCCATCCCCACAACTAAGCTAGGGTTTGGGTACAGCCCATCTGTTAGTCCCTGAGTGAGGCAGCAAACAGCAGCTCCAATGCCCTCATCCTTGCCCTTGCCTTCAGAGCTCCCCGTCCAACAAGGAGAAAGCAGCAGGCAGATGAAGCACCACTGAACTGTTTGGCAGTCATCACCCTGGAGTGGAGCAGAGGACAGCAGGGCACCAGCCTCCCTGGCTGCCAGCATTTGAGCAAAGCCTGCCACGGAGGGGCTCGGAGTGAGTGTTAGGTGAGAGGAGTTTGGCCAGGAGGCAGCCAGGACGTGACTTCTGAGCAGGAGTAGACCACAGGCAATACTTGGCTGCAGGGCTCAGGATCTCTCAGGCCCCAAGGAAGACAAAACAGGGAGCCTGCAGGGTGGGGCTTTGGGACAGGGGAGAAAGCATCTAGGGGGTGTACATGGAAAGCATAAGAAGGCGTTGAGCCCCAGAGTTTTCTGCTCTGGGGCAGAAGGACAGATTTGCACGGGGATTGGCTGTGAGCCACAGGTGGGACAGAGATGGAGAGGGACAGCTTGGGGAAGGTCACGAGAGGCAAGGGGCTGGGTCCCATTGTCCTTCTTATCCCTAGAACAAGATAGCCAGAGTCCAACAGTGCTTGAGGAGGGGTAGGAAGCTGGCTAAAGACTGGGGTATTGGGGTATTGCTGCAGTTCCCCAACCCTAGCCCTAGGCACCTGGGCTGGCTCCAGTGCATGTCCACATTTGGGCATAAACATAAGCCTCTTCTGCCTTCTCCCTACAGGGGAGCTCGAGCCTGCAGGCCCAGGCCTGTCTGCGCTGGGCTTCACATGACTGCCCCTGGGGCTTGCATGAAGGCAAAGAAGACAGGCATCCTGGCAGTCCTGCTCATTCTATAAATAGATCTCTGGGCCCTGCCCAGTGCTCCAAGGCCTCCGGCAGGCTCTTCTGTCAGCATCATAGCCACCAGGAGTCTTTGTGCTGTAACTGGGCTCTGATGGATGGGACAGATGCCACCACTGTGAGGGATGGGAGGCAGCCGAGGAGCAGGAGGAGGCAGCCCCATGGAAACATGGGAGGCTTTCTAGAGGAGGCAAGGCCTTATTTTCTGCAGGACAGGGTTGAAGGGGCCTTGTTTAGTTCAGGGTCCTGGGCTGCCAGCACCCAGGATTGCTTCCCGCCTGAGGCATCCTCTCTGCACCCTGCCTAGGCCTTCCCTTCCTTTCCAGTCTTCAAGGGGAAGGGGCTTGGAGCTCTGCAGGGTGCAGGGGCAAGAGCACAGCCCAGCTCTGAACAACCCTTGCATGCCAGAGCAGGTGGCGTTGTGGCTCTGGGCTTCTGTCTGTAGGGCAGGGTACAGGTGGTAGCATCTTTCTCAAGGCATGTTGGGAAGAAGGCGGAGTGAGGCGGTGAACAGCATCTAGCAAGTGATGCCCCAGCAAGCGATGATTTGTCCCAGAGACACCATGTTCTTTATCCTGGGGAAGGGAAAAACCAGGACTCAGGGGTTTGCTCACCTTTGTCCATTTTCCTCTTGCACCCCCACCTTCTTCAGCATGAAAGAAGACACAGAGAGACCATCATTCCGGAAGCTGCCAGCTTTCCTCCAACTCTGGGGGCTCCCTGCAGGATTAAGGGGTTTGAGGGCTCTGGGGCCTCAGCCCTCATACTTGTGTGACACAGATAATCCTAGAACGTGTGTGTTTTCATGTGACTCTGCTGTGCTGACCAGCTCCAGAGGGACCAGTTGCTCCCACCTGCACCACACAGAGCAGTTTCTGTTCATAGTGTGGTTCATGTATGAGGTATGAGGGACACAACCTTCACCCACTGGGTACAGAGCCAGGGATGCAGCCCAGGGGCACACCACGCAGGATGGGAGGTGGGGGAGTCAGGCTCTGTGCCACTGTTCATCTCCTGGCATGGCTGTGTGACCTCCAACAGGTCACCCTTTTTCTGAGCCTTCCTTTGCTTGGAATCAGCCTGACATGTAGCAGGACTAGGCCTTTCTTTCTTTATTTCTTTCTTACTTTCTTTCTTATTAATTAATTAATTTTATTGGAAAGGCAGATTTACTTACAGAGAAAAGAAACACGGAGACAAAGATCTTCCATCTTTTGCTTCACTCCCCAGTCACAATGGCCAGAGCTGAGTCAATCCTAAACCAGGAGTTTCTTCCAGGTCTCCCCCAGGGGTGCAGGGTCCCAAGGGGTGCATTGGGCCATGCTCTGCGGCTTTCCCAGGTCGCAAGCAGCAAGTGGATGGGAAGTGGAACAGCCAGGACACAAACTGGTGCCTATATGGGATGTCAGCACTTGCAGGTGGAGGATTAGGCAGTTGAGCGGGCTCCAGGGATAAGTTTCCCAGAGCACCAAGACCAGGATGCTGACAGGTGGGAGGTCAGTCCTTTTATTTCCCATCCTGTCAACACTTGGCGCTTATATATATATATATGATGTGTTGATTCATTTGAAAGCCAG